GGCTGGGCGCAGTGCTCCGCGGCCGCCGAGCCGAGCGGACGACCCTCGAGGCCGCACCGCAGCCTCCGCGCCTTCCCCTATCATGCCCCGGGCCCGGGCCGGGGCCGCCCAAGCAGCCAGGACATCATGCCCGAGGGCGACGGCGGGGAGGCGCCCGCTCTCATCCCGGACAGCGAGCCGCTGCGGGAAGAGGTATCGCGCTGCGGGGCCGGAGCCGGGAAAGACGATGGGGCAGCGAGCAGTCCCCGGGAGGGGCACGGGGCAGAAAGTCCTCGGGTCCCTACGGCCGATGACGTCATTGGGGAGCCCGCGTCCGTCTTGGGGTCCCGGGCCTAGGAGCCCACGAGGGGCAGGGATAGGGCGGCTGGGCAGGAATGTGGGGGGGCGACTCTTGCCCCCGTGTCCCCTTAAACATGCTCGCCCGTCCTGTGACGTCAGCACCTGGCCCCCACGCGTCCGCACCCTGTAGCGCTACCCAGCTGCCGCCCCCCCACCTCCAGGGCCACGGGGTGAGGCCCCCAGCCCGACCCAGCCGCTCACGAGGTGCCGAGGTGCCGGGCGGTGTCTGCAATGCAGCCGCAGTGACCAGGACTTGGGGGAGGGGAAAGAGAAGGGAGGCGGCCTCTAGAATCCAACGCCCTCCTTCCAGGTAAGGGCTGAGGGTTCACCCTGCAGGCTGGGACCCCCAAGGCGACCCTTCCTCAGTTGTGGCCAGGAAAATCTGCAGGCGCCGAGGCCTCCGTGTGTGGTGGGGTGAGGGGGTGATGGGGGTGGGTGAGGGTGTGTGTTTGAGCAAATGTGGCATGCCTGTGGGGTGTGTGTGTGTGTGTGTGTGTGTGTGTCTGTGTATGTCTGTGTGTGAGAAAGAGAATGTGGTCAGGTGAGGGTCAGCTGGGTCCTTTGGCTTGGGTCTTGGCCCAGTGTTGTGTGTATGTGTATCTCTGGTGTGGAGGGGGGTGTGGGTGTGGGTGTGAAGTTTCTGGAGGGGTGGGGGATGTGCACTGTGGTCAGGAGAAGGTCTGTCCTGTCTCGGCTTCAGAGAGTATGAAACATGTATGCACATCCGTGTGTCCTGGAATGGATGGGTCTACGGTTTGTGTGTGTGCATGTGTGTGTGCACACACATGTGTCCATGTGCTTCTTGCTATGGGTGAAAGGGTTTGCACTCTGGGGATAGGCAAGGGTCTGGTGTAAACAGGCTGAGTTCTCTAGGGGTAGGTGGGTCTGTGATGACCATGTATTGGGGGTGTACAGGAGTGGGTGCGTAGACCTGTGGTGTGGTGGGTGAAGGGGGACACATTGCTCTGTGCAGCCCTGGCGTTCGGGCGCTGTTTCCTCTCTTTCCTCAAAGTCGAGTAGAGCTGGGTAGGAGAGGTGGCCATTAACCTCACCTCTGTTGTTTGCAGTTTCTTCTTTCCCTTTCTACCCTTCCCTTCCCCTACCTACCGTCTTCTCTTACTTTGGCACCTGGGGGTGAGGTAGCCAGGCTGGAAGCCCTGACAGGCAGGAGTGCGGAGCCCCCTGGGTCAGGGAGTGGCCTCTGCTGCCTGCCAGATGGGGAGTGGAGGGCAGCCCTCCATATGCGCCCCCTCAAGGCTCACGCTTCCTCCATTTCCAGCTCGCCCTCTTTCTCACTGACTTAAAAGCCTCTCCCGAGTCTCCTGCCACTCCTAGTGGAGCAAAGAACCAGGCAGGATTAACACGCATAATGCTTGTTCCCATGGCCAGATCGAATAGCTTCACACGTACAGTTTCGTTGAATCTTTGTAGCCCCAGGTTACAGATGAGGAAATAGAGGTCCGGTAAGGATGATGGACCTGCCCAAGTCACACTTGTAAGTAGTGGAGCCAGCATCAGAGCCTGGCCTGTAGGGCTCCAAAGCCCGTACTGTTCAACTCTTGGGGCCCTGCCACCCTGGCCTCCTGTACCACCAGGACCAGAAATCAAAGCCCAGAGAGGGCAGGAACATGCCAAGTCCTCACAGCAAATCAGGCAGAGCTCACACCATGAGAATTGTTTTCTCAGTAACCAACAAGGAGTATGAAGGGAGAGGTGTCCTTTCTCTCCTGGCAGGGATGGATCTGTTGTGTCCTAAGCACCGAGAGAGCAGGGCAGAACAGAGGGCAGCCTCAGGGCAGGTGGGCCCAGGTTCCAATCCTGCAGCCAGCACCACCGTGAGCTGGCTGGAAGTAAGGCTGGGAGCAGGTAGCGGAGTCCCGTGGAGCCTCAGTTTCCTCTCCTGCACAGGGTTAAGCACAGTACTCGCACAGCCAGCGGCCCTGTCCTGACGCCCTCTCCCCTCTCTCTGCCTACCCTGCAGCAGCGGCCCCTGAAGCAGTCCCTGGGAAGCTCCCTATGCCGAGAGTCGCACTGGAAGTGCCTGCTCCTCACACTCCTCATCCATGCCTGTGGTGCAGTGGTGGCCTGGTGTCGCCTTGCCACTGTGCCGCGGCTGGTCCTGGGGCCCGAGGCAGCCTTGGCTCGTGGGGCAGGGGGACCGCCACCCACCTACCCGGCTAGCCCCTGCTCCGATGGCTACCTGTACATCCCACTGGCCTTTGTCTCCCTCCTCTACCTCCTCTACCTGGCAGAGTGCTGGCACTGCCACGTGCGGTCATGCCAAGCGCCTCGCACAGATGCCAACACCGTGCTCGCCCTGATCCGCCGGCTGCAGCAGGCACCGCCCTGTGTCTGGTGGAAGGCCACCAGCTACCACTATGTGCGCCGCACACGCCAGATCACTCGCTACCGCAACGGCGACGCCTACACCACCACGCAGGTCTACCACGAGAGGGCTGACAGTCGCACAGCTCGGGGTGAGTTTGACTACTCGGCCCATGGTGTCCGCGACGTCTCCAAGGAGCTGGTGGGCCTGGCTGACCACGCAGCCACACGGCTGCGCTTCACCAAGTGCTTCAGCTTTGGCAGTGCTGAGGCCGAGGCCTCGTACCTCACACAGAGGGCCCGATTCTTCAGCGCCAACGAGGGCCTGGACGACTACCTGGAGGCCCGCGAGGGTATGCACCTGAAGGACGTGGACTTCCGTGAGTCCCTCATGGTCTTTGCCGACCCCCGCAGCCCACCCTGGTATGCCCGTGCCTGGGTCTTCTGGCTCGTGTCAGCAGCCACCCTGTCCTGGCCCCTGAGGGTTGTGGCGGCCTATGGCACTGCCCACGTCCACTACCAGGTAGAGAAGCTTTTTGGCGCCAGCTCACCTCCTCCAGGGGCCATGCCCAGCGGGCCACCACTGTCCCGGGTGGCCACGGTGGACTTCACCGAGCTGGAGTGGCACATCTGCTCCAACCGGCAGCTGGTGCCCAGCTACTCAGAGGCTGTGGTCATGGGTGCCAGCTCGGGTGCCTACCTTCGGGGCTGCCAGCGCTGCCGCCGCTCCGTCAGCAGCAACTCGCTGCCTCCTGCCCGGCCTAGTGGCCCCCGCCTGCCCTTCAGCCGAAGCCGCCTCTCACTGGGCACCGGGGGCCGGGCCACCCCAGGGGTCTTCCGCAGCCTGAGTGGGGGGCCATTGGGGCGCCGTGGAGAGGACACCGAACCCTTGGAAAGCCCACCATGCTACGAGGATGCCCTTTACTTCCCGGTGCTCATTGTCCATGGGGACAGCGGCTGCCGGGGAGATGGGCAGGGTGCGCTCTGAGACCCCCCGTGGCCCTGGCATGTCTCCCTCCTCACCAGCCCACCATGGGCTTGGATTCCTGATACTTGTCCAAACCAGGAGGGCAAGCAGACCAGCCACGCACGGGTCAGGTGGGGCGGGGTTCCTTAGACAAACTAAAATGCAGTGACCTGGGGTCATTCTGGGGGGAGGGATGCCACCTGAGTTGAGCCTATGATCCATCCCCAGCAACCCCATCCATCCCCCGCCTCCCACCCCTGCCATAGTGGATGAACTGCTTGGGGGCCGAAGCAGGGAAAGAAGCTTCCAGAAAGGCTGGGATGGGGAGGAGCCCTGAGGACAGCTGTTACCTGCGGCAAAGAACTGCCTATGGGCTCCTCCCTGCCATGGCTGAGACCACACTGGGGGCCCTCGAGCAATCCAGAAGCACAAATGGGCAGTTTTGGGCTGTGCCCAGCTGGGCTGCCCTTCTGAAGCTGAAGAGCTGGCAGTGATGGCCCCACTACTTGCCCAGTCCCCTTAGTCTCCTGCTAGTCCCATCCTGCCTGTCCTCTCGCCTCTGCTCACGCCCAGTCCTTGATGTGACCCTGTGGTGTGGCCCCTCCCCTGAGAGCCTGGTTCTTGGAACACAGCTTTGCACCCTTTTCTCCCTGGTACCCACTACACCCATCCCACATCCAGCTCCCTTTAGAACCTGGGGTCTCACTCAGGACCCCACCATGATCCGACATTCCCTGGTCTCCACTCCTGCCTCCCAAAGTCTACATCCACCTCTGTCAGCCACATACATACCCACCTGTCCTTGCTTTTGCAGGCTTCTCTGCTCTTTGCCTTTCTAATTTCCACAGGATGCAGGGCCACAGGGCATCCGAGGGGCCCTGGCCTAGCCACAGCCTCTTGGACGATGCCCTTGCCCTCCTCTGGAAGCCCCTGCTTCTCCCACAGTGGAGCCTGGCCCAGGGGACATCATCCCTCCCCCAAGGAGGAGAGAGGAGTCCCTTCCCTTCCAACTGGGGCTTCCACCCCTCTCAGGGGCAGGCAGGGGAGGGAGGAGGCAGAGAAGGTACAGACTAAATAAAGTTTTGAACTGGAAGGGCTTCTGTGTGTTCTTGAGGGGTGAGTCCAAGGCTACCACTGAAGCGTAACGGGCCACCTGGGTGCGGGGGAGGTGGGCTTCAGCGTTCCTGGGAGCAGGGTAGGCAAAGAGGGACCTTCTCTATCCAGCTTGGAGCCTCGGAGACTCAGCTCTTTTTCTGTGTGTGTGTCCTGGGGATGGAATCAGGCATGCCTTCCCTCTAACGCTGAGCTACACCAGCCTGAGACCCAGCTGTGAGCTGCCGTGAGCAACTGACTGCACTGACGCCAGCATCTAGGCCTAGATCACTTGAAAAGCATTGTCAAGGCCGGCCCCTCTTCCAGCCCGCCGGGCGTCCCTAAGAGGAAGGGGTGGGGGCTGTGCCTATGACTCCAGTCAGGTACCCCCCATGGCTGTGTTACTAGCTGGGGGCAATGGGTGCAGAGCAGGGTGACGAAGGCAAAGATTGAAAGGACTATCCCTGAGTCAGTGCAGGCCAGTGCAGGATCCATAGAAAGAGAACAAGCCGCCAAGGAGGGGCCTCATCCACTGAGAGAGTCTAGGTGCTTGGAAGAAGCATCTTTGCATGTATAGTTGCTCAGGGTGTTTACTATACAAGGACACTGGGCTGAGGTCAGGCAAGAGTGGAATTCACACCCAGGCCTGGTGTGGGGCTGCGTCCATTTGAGGAAAGGACAACCTTTTCTAATTTACCCACAGGGGCCATAAGTACTAGTGGATGCCCTGGAAATAGGTTGGATTTCTCCAAGAGGAGACAGGGCAGAGGGCTTTCTGGGCAATGGGTGCTGCCCAAACAAAGCCCTGGAGCAGACTAGGAAGCAATGAAGTAGAGACAAAGAGCCAGTCGGAAGTAGCTGAGGCACCCATACCACACCCCAGCATTTGCCTTTCAATGGGGGCAGACAGAAGCCACGCAAGGTGCTGGGAAGGGAGAAATAAGATCAGGGCTGCTTGTTAGGATATTTAGCAGAAGTCCAGCCACTGCTGGCCACGTGGGGAGGACAGAGTTAGAGAGCAGAGCTTTCCCCCTGCACCAGCCCAGGCCTCCCTTTGTGGGGGGATCAGCTGTTTGGAAGTAACCTCAGTGCAAAACCCATGGCGGTGCCCAGATGTTCAAGGAGTGACAGCGGACAGGGAGGCTAATGTGCTGTTTCTGGCTCCTCCCCATAAGAAGGTCCTCCTTTTCCAGCCTTCCAACCATAGCCACCACTTGACCACTGGCCACTGGCCATTCTTCTCCCTTCCTCAATAATGGAACTTCAGTTGACCCAGCTAAAAGACATCTCCAGCCTCCCTTGTGCATATGTTATGACCGTGTGACTTAATTCTAAGATATGTGATATAAACAGAAAGAAATTTCCAACAATGCTCCTTGAATTAGAAACAATATAGGTGAAGGGCATTTTTGTCCTCTCTGGTTCATCCTCCCTTCAGCTTGGAATGCATATGTGATAGCTGAAACTCCAACAGCTATTTTTTATCAGAAGGTGACCTTGAAAACTGTAACCATGTGCTGAGGATAGCAGAGCAACATAACAAAACATCCTGGGTTTCTGATGACACTAAGGGAGCTTCCTTACCATCTCTGGGTTGTTTATTTCCAGATTTTAATGAGAAAGAGAAATAAAAGTTTAGATTGTTTAAGCCACTGTTTTTTCTTGTTTCTATTACTTGCAGTCTTTATGAATTTTCTGCTGCTCCATTACAAATTGTCCCAAAGACAGTGGCTTCAAGTAGCAACAGATATCATGCTCTCTCTTGTGTGGGTCAATGTCGAGGATTGCTTATCTCTGCTCCATGGGGCCTAGGCCTCAGCTGGGGCAGGAATCACCTGCAGGCTCCTTCCCTTGCATCTCTGACTGTTGAGAGCCCAGCCAGGGTTGTTAAGTGGGCCAGCCTTGCCTGGCTTCTCTGTGGCACGGGCCTCCTCACAACAGGATGGCTGGGCTCCATGGACAAATGTAACAGGAGGGTGGCAGCTCTGTCGCCCTCTAGGGTGTGGTCTCAGAAGTCACACGGCATCCTCCCTGCCTTTTTCTGCTGGTCAAAGTTACCAAAAAATGCCCATCCAGTTTCAAGGGAGAGGGAATATAAGATCCCACCTCTTCATGGAGACTTGTCAGTGCCATATTTAAGAACAGCATGCCAGGCGTGGTGGTGCACACCTGTAATCCCAGCACTTGAGGGGCTGAGGCAGGAAGATCGCCATAAGTTTGAGGTCAGCCTGGGCAACATAGTGAGTTCAAGGCCAGCCTGCACTACATAGCAAGACCCTGTCTTAAAAACCAAACAAACAAGCAACATGTAGGTTGGATGTGGTGGCCCATGCCTGTCATCTCAGCAGTCTGGAAGGCTGAGGCAGGAAGATGGCAAGTCTGAATCCATCCTGAGCAATTTAGTGACTTAGTGAAAACTTGTCTCAAAATAAAACTTAAAAATAAAAATAAAAAAGGGCAGTAGATATAGCTTATTGTGAAGGCTCTGGGTTCAACTTGGGGGGAAACAAACAAACAGAATAGCACATGGGATGGGAGGTATATTAGTGACTGTCATTAAAAAATCAGTCGGTCACCAGGTGTGGGGGCGCATGCCTATAATCCCACCACTCGGAAGGCTGAGGCAGGAGGATTACCATGAGTTTGAGGTCAGCCTCAGCCACATAAGCAAGTTCAAGGCCAGCCTGCATTATATATTGAGACCCTGTCTCAAAAAAAAAAAAAAAAAATCAGTTGCTGAGCCAAATGTCATTCCCAAGTGATTGATATCTAGAGGGATCTGCAAAAAGAAGCCTAACACGGGTCATTTATTGGCATCTTCAGGTGGCAGATTAAATATGACACAAATCCTTTGTGACTTTTAGCCCCAAAAGATGCACCCTATCCCCTTGCTCTTTAAATCTGAACTGAGTTGACTATCTTTCTTTCTTTCTTTTTTCCTTTTTGGTACCAGGAATTGAACTCAGGACCTTGCACTTGCCAGGCAGGTGCTGTGCACTGAGCTATTCCTGGCCCTGGGCTGGCTTTCTGACTTGGTTTGAGGTGGCAGAAAGGACACTGGGTAATTTCTGAGACAAGGTCTCAAGAGACCTTGCAATTCCACCTTCACTGCTTGGAATCGGCGTGGGAGCCTCAGATGTGAAGCCAGGTGGAGACAGAGGCCCAGCCACAAGCCAGTGGTGGACAAGGACAAGGACGGAGGCCACCTCAGACTTTCCAGCCCCGTGGAGCCACAGATGGGTGGGGCCTTCAGAGTGACACCAGGTGAAAGCAACAGATGGGCCACCGTGGACTCTGGCCTAACCGTTGACCTCTGGCATCCGGAGAAGTCATTGCTGCTTAAAGCCATTGCCGTTTGGGATGATGTGCTGCTCAAAATACATCACCAGAGGGCTGGGGATTTAGCTCAGTGGCAAAAGTGCCCGCCTGGCAAGCGCAAGGTCGTGAGTTCGGTTCCCGGTACCGGAGAAAAAAAAACAAAAAACAAAAAACAAAATACATCACCAGTACAGGCCCTGGGCCCATGTCCACCTCATGAGGGAGGACGCAGGCCCTGCACAGCTAGGGAGAGGAAGGATCTAACCTGGGTGCTGGACGGTCCCCATCTCGGGTCTCACGTTCAGCCCTCAGCCTGTCTCAGAGCCAGTGTGGAGCTCTGATGAACCATTCCAAACGATTCTCAAGAGAGGAATCAAGGCCTGAGGAAGTTTGCAGAGACTTGTTCCAGACCCCAGAGCCTCTGCCTGTCTTCTCTGTATGACCCTGTCCTGGGCAGGCCACCCACAACATGGGTGAAACAGCACCCAGTTTTCAGCCGCCCACCTGGGCACCTCCTTTGCTCATCACTGCGTGCCAGTCCCCTTCCTCCCCTTCCTCGTCCTCCCTGCTTCCTGCCTCCCACGCCTCTCCCTCTCTCCCCTTTCTCTTGTCTTCCTTTTTTTTTTTCTTAAGTTGTATTATGGGAAATTTCAAACATCACAAAAGTAGAGACATCAGCACAATGAGGTGGCTCGTCCCCAGCACCCAACACTATGGCCACCATCCACCCGTGACCACTGTGGCTTCATCCGTGCTCAACCTCTTTGCTGGCTCGGCTGGAGGATTTGGAGGAGGAGCTCAAGGTTGTAGCCTTTTAGCTGTGACCCCCCCACCCCTCAGGGCTCTGCCCACAGCGCATTGCTGTCTACCGTGCCTGCCTCCACACCCCACCCCAGCTTGCTCTGACCCCTGGGTCCAACCTCCACAAGCCTGGGGGTTCCACGGGCCTCTCCAGTGCATTTTGCCACTCGCCATAACGCGTAAACCAAGTCATGTCTCCACAACCGGGTGAGTTTCTAACATGTCACCTCCAGGGACTCTCAGTGGCTCTTTCCCCTGCGCTCCCTTGTGTCCTTTTAACTCGTCATCATAATTCAAAATTATTTTGATTCACATATGCATGAGTTAGTTCACTCTTTGTTCCCTCCACGAGAATTAAATCTATGGGAGGTAAATACCCACAGATGCAGCCCATTAAGTCAGACAGAATCCAGACTCTGCCACCATCACCCCTGGGAAAGTCACTTAGCTTCTCTCCGACCCTATTTTTTCAACGCAGAATAAGAGATAACAACAGATAACCAACAGGGGCCATCAGGAGAATTACACAAGATACATACTAAGAAGCCAGGCAAGACAGTCCACAACTGTTTGTGTTTTTTTGTTTTTCGTTTTTCCAGTACTGGGAATCGAACCCACGACCTTGTGCTTGCCAGGCAGGCACTGTGCCGCTGAGCTAAATCCCTGGCCCCACAACTGTTTTGAAGACTGCGCATATTAATGAAAATCCTTTATCTGGTGGCTTTGTCAGAAAACCTCTAAATAGAAGGGGCCAGCAGGTTGCACGGCAGCCTTCAAGGATGGTCCCAGAAAGTGGTGACCCACAGGTGTGGTGGCCTTGCCAGGTGCCTGCAGGCGTCACACAGAGCCTGCCGCACACGGCTCTTCTACGTTAGTGCAGTTGGAAACAGTGGGCAGGATGCGTGGTGTACTTAGCATGTGTGTGTTTAAGCCTGGAAATTTAAGGTCAGATTCCTTAGGAACCTAACTTAAACCTTGATGTTATTGACTATAAATAGATGAAACAATCCTGAATAAGATTACAGAGCATCAAAACTAAATGTAAGAAATTTAGTCTTCAGATTAGGAAAAAAAAAATTGGCAGCTACTCCTTGGACAAAGGACTAATATCTAGAATATATAAACAACTCCAAAAATTAGACCTCCTCAAAATAAAAGTTCCAAACAAGAAATGAGGAACTGAATGAAAAACAAAACAAAACAGAACTATGCTGCTGTGATTAAATCAGGATCTGAAACATAAGGAATGCTCAATAAGTTTAGCTATTGTCATCATTTGTACCATCATTACAGGTCTAGTACCTCTTATCCAGAACCCATAGGTAATCTGGGGGTGTAGCTTAGTTAGCGGTAGTACACTTGCCCAGCATGCACAAGGCTCTGGGTTCAATCCCTAGCACTGCAAACAAAACAAAACAAAACAAAAAAGACAACCAAAATGCATGGGGCCAAGCCAAGTGTAGTGGCACACACCTGTAATCCCAGCACTTGGGAGGCTGAGACAGGAGGATCACCACATGTTTGAGGCCAGACTGGGCTGCATAGTGAGTTCAAGGACAGCCTGAGCTACACAAGACCTTGTCTCAAAAAAAAGGAAAAAAAAAAAAAAAAAAGGCCGGGCGTGGTGGCACATGCCTGTAATCCCAGCACTCGAGAGGCTGAGGCAGGAGGATCATTGCAAGTTCAAAACCAGCCTGTACTATAAAGTGAGCTCAAGGCCAGCCTGAACTGCATAGCAAGACCCTGCCTCAAAAAGATGGCCCCCACCCCAAAAAAAGCTTGGGGGTAGAAATATTACAGACTTTGAATTTTTTCAGATCTTGGAATATTTGCTATACATAATAAAATATTTTAGGGCTGGAACCCAAGGCTAAATATGAAATTCATTTATGTTTTGTCTGTACCTTATACATATAGCATAGAGGGAGTTTTTTTGTTTTATAGTACTATCGATTGAACCCAGGGCATTCATACTAACTGAGCTACATCCCAGTCCTCCTGCCTTTTAAATTATTTACTTTGAGCCAGGATCTCCATCAATTACTTTGAAGCTGGTCTCAAACTTACAATCCTCCTGCCCCAGCCTCCCAGAGTCCTGGAATTACAGCAGGTCATTTCATACAGTATTTTTAGTGTACTCGCAGAGTGACTGGAAACCATCACAAGAGATCAGGTGTAGAAGCATTTTGGATTTTGGACTTTTGGATTAGGAATGCTCAATCCAGAATTACAAATGGGTATTCTGTCTCTGTCTCTGCAGTCAAAAGCTCTACCACCAAGTTATACTCCCTATGTCTCTATCTCTGTCTCTCTCTCTGTCTCTCTCACAAACACACACACACACATACACACACACACACACACACACCATCAGCAGCCAGCACAGTGGCTGGCACATAATCGATGCCCCTTCAGTATGTGTTAAACGAATGAGTCCTGAGCTCCTACCAATACCTCCAGTACCCTTGGGTTGGCTAAGTCCGGGGGCTGAAGAGTGGAGCTGCTCATCCTGAGGTCCAGACCAGCCAAAGGGGCTGCCACTGCTTGGCCACACTTGAATTGCAGCTCTCCTGCTCCCTGGTCCACAGATGGACCCAAGAAGGAATGGCAGGGAAATATCTGCTGCCTCCCTGGCTGTGCAAACCGTGATACCGCTGTATGGCTTATCCTTGGATCCAGGTCCCAGGCCAGATGCCTGGAGCTTCTCCTGCATTTTTTGTGGATTTCATCTTCCCTCTTGTGTCACGCTCGCTCACTGCTGTTCTCCAAGGCCCATCAGTATGAGGTCATTGCTGAGTGACCTGAGTGTTATCAGGAAAGGGCAGGAGGACACGGGTATCAAGCTGAGAACTGGCAGCACGCTGACAGGGGGCGGGAAAGGTGCGCTGCTGCCCTGCTGGGAGGAGCCTAAGAGCTCCTGGGAGTCAGATTCAACTGATACCCAGGGGAACAGAGCAGGTAGGTAGATAGAACCACATGGCGAGTAATAGCTGTACTACGGCTGCTCTCAGAGTAGTTTCTGTCCAGAAAGCCCAAGGAGGTCAAAGTCAGCTAACTTTCAGTAACCCAAGGCCACATTCCAAAAGGCAGATAGATTTTTTCTTCTCTCTTAGTGCTTAAAACACAAAGAAAAGAAAAGAAAAAAAAGAAAAGAGCTTATCACTGGGAAGTTGAGGCAAGAGGATGACAAATTCAATCCCAGCCTGGGCAACTTTAAGACTTAGCAAGACTCTGTCTCAAAATAAAAAATAAAGAGCTAGAAGCTTAGCTCAGCACAAAAGCCCTGGGTTCAAGTCCCAGTACCACCAATAATAATAAGCATTATCATTATAAATTAACAAAATAAAAATACTTTGTCAGCAGAGTGGCTACAACTTATGTTGTGAAAACTATAACATGTTATTAGAAACAATATTGTGTCATAAAAGACTAAATAAGAATTAAATATTTTAACAAAGATCAAGTTCAGGGGCTGGGGATTTAGCTCAGCGGCACAGCGCCTGCCTGACAAGTGCGAGGTTGTGAGTTCATTTGCCGGTACTGGAAAAAAACAAACAAGAAAAAGATCAAGTTCAAACCTTTTCAAACTTTTGAAATAAATGCATGATCATTTGAAAAGTCAGTATGGGGATATATGCAGTTAAGGATAGGAGTTCTCCTTCTCTGCTTGCTTCCCTTGGGCTGTGCTGTGCTGAAAATGTCCCCTCCAAAGCCAGGCATGGTGACGCACACCTGCAATCCCAGCACTCAGAAGGCTGAGGTAAGAGGATCAACACAAGTTTGAGGTCGGCCTGGGCTACATAGTAAGTTCAAGGCCTAAAGTACATCTTGTGACCCTGTCTCAAAACAAATGAAAAGTAAATGTGCCTTCCAAGTTTATGTGTTGGAAACATAATCTCCAAATTCATATGTTGGTAGTTTTTGGAGGTACAGCCTTTGGGGGTGTCTTGGTTACTTTTTTCTCGCTGCAGGGACAGAATACCTGACGACCAAAATTAAGGAAGGAAAGGTTTATTTCGCTTACAGTTCGTGGAAGTTTCAATCCTTACTTGGGAGATCATAAGGCAGAGTGGCACGTGGCAGAGGGCTGTATCTCAGGACGGCAGCCACAGCTAAGCTACAACTCACTTACACCGGGGCAGAATGGGGGAGGAATGCCCCAAGCACTCTTTTCCTGTCCCTTACATATGCAAACTATCCACCCCAGGGTGGGTGTAGCTCTCACACCCACATTCAACTCTAATAGCCTGCCCCATATCCGCAGGAGGCTTTGGGGGGGACACACAGACATAAACCATAACAGGGGGGTAATTAAGGTTAGACAAGGTCATGAAGGTGGGACCCTATGACTGGATTAGTGTCTTTATAAGCAGAAAGACCCAAGCTTGCACTTTGCCCTGTCCTGCTGTATGGTGCCCTCTACCATTATGATAAAGTAAGAAGAAGGCAACACATGCCAGCACCTTGATATTCAATTTCCTAGCCTGCAGAACCGTGAACAAACTTCTAACATTTATAAATTACTTAGGCCCTGGTATTCCATTATAGCAACAGCAAAGACCTTATTTATTAGTATCATCCACCTTAACCACAGATAACTGCCTCCTGGGGAGGAAGACTCCCTCTTCCCCGCTCAATCCCAGTGCCATTGGCTTCCCTGAGCTCAAGTCTTGCAGTCTAACCCCTAAATGCCAGGCAGGCATCAGGTCTGGCCTGGCACTAAGAGAGAGATTTGCCTCATGACAGTGCCTGATATCCACCCATTCCTAAAAACTATGGCTTCTGGCTGAGACACAGGACTTCTGAGCCAAACCTGCACTCTAGGGGAAGTGCCTCAGAGTGCTGGTGGAGGGAGAACAGAGTTCTGGGCCTCTAGACAAGAAGTTCTACTTTCACCCAGGATTGGAGGGAGCCGGTAAACCAGTCACTTCTTTTTTTTTCTTTTTTGAGACAAGGTCTCGCTATGTAGTTCAGGCTGGCCTCGAACTCCTCCTGCCTCAGAAGGCATTTTAAAGACTGTCAGAATCTCCAAGCACAGAGTGGTTTGAAGGCCTATGTGAAGCCCCCTTGGGGACAAGCTCCCAAATATGACAAAGGGCGCCTGCCCTGCGGGTCTAGGAGTCGTCAGATGTGTAAGTAACACAAACATTTAACTATTTTAGCAACTAATTACAGAACAATTAATATGCTCTGGGAGAAGAGCTCAACCAAGGCCTCCCGGTGGCTGTCAGTCCGCGGTACCACAGCCAGGGGGCGATGAAGGCCCATTCACCGACAACATCTGCCCACACACACATACACACACACACACACACAGTCAGTCCGCGGTACCACAGCCAGGGGGCGATGAAGGCCCATTCAAGGACAACATCCGCCGGGCGCTCGGTCCAGAGAACTGGGGATGTGGACGAGCAGACACAGGGGAGGAGAGGGTCCTACGACTGGGTTCAGAGCATCCTGGTCAGAGAACAGGGGTTCTGAAGACTAGCGGATCTGGGTGCCCACTGAAGGCGGTAAAGGACCGAGGCCTAGAGTGGGCGGGGCTTGCAGCCCAAGAAAGGGAAATTTAAATATGGGCGGGTTCTGCACTAGCAGGAGGCGGAGCCTGGTGGAGATGTTGGGTTTTGTCCTTGCGTGGGCGCTGCTTGCTGGCAAAGTCTGGACAAGAGAATTCTCTAGGTGGGTTGGATTTAAAACCTATCGGGGCGGGGCCCGCGGGCATCTTCTGTGAGCCGGCCCAGGAGAAGGGGCTCATGTAGACGTGCTGCTTCCTCCGTCCGAAGTGTTAGCCGTGTGTGGGGGGCGGTTTTCCCCGGGTGAGTTCAGCGAAGCAGCGGTACTTGTAGCTAGCAGCGGAAACTGCGAAAGAGTTTGAGAATTTTACACGTTCGCCGGAGGGCGGAGTTTGTGTCTCTCCTGGACAGAGTTAATGACTGCAAGATACAAGATTTTTTGGAGCGTCGAAGGCCCTGTGAAGGGGCGGAGTCTGCAGTTGTGTTAAACGGGGCACTTAACCACAAGTGAATGTGTAAAGTCTGGGTGGAGCTCATACCTCTGGGAGGCAGAGATTAATCCCTGCCCGTCCGTGAGGGGCGCAGGGGAGGGGCGGGGCTTATGGGATTGCGCGAGAGACTGGGCGGGGCTGAGAGGGCAGAGGGGCGGGGCAATAGCTCTAGGAATCCGAGCTGGCGGGGGGTGAGGCTTGTGGCTTTGGTGGGCGGGGCCTCTGGAGCGCTCCCAAGGGGACTTTGGACAGCCGTGGTGGGCGTGGCTCCTAGCTCTGAGCGGCCCCGCGGATAGTGCCGGAGTCCCCAGCCGCCTTTGGGGGGGAGGGGGGAGAGCCCTGGGAGTCAGTGGGCGGGGCCTGAAACACAGCTCTCCGCTGGGGCGGAGCCGGGCCTTGGTGCAGGCTGGGGCTCTGCCCTGGGAGGCCGTCTGTTTAGGCCCGCACGCAGCTCCGCATCTGGTGCTCATTACCAGATGACAAAGAGCCGGCCCTGGGCCCCCTTCCCCACTCCCATCCCCCTCCGACTGCGGTGCATTTAACTCCTTCCTGCCCTCGTGGCGCTCTGGATGCTCCGCCTGGGCTCCTAGGAGGAAGCTTCAGAGCTTCCCGTCCAGCTGATCTTCTCATTCCCTATGCTGAGCCCGCACCTCCTCCCCAGGCTAAGGCATCGGAGCACCCTGCGATCCCCACTTCCATCCAGCAACCCTTCCCTTCCGAGCTTCTCCGAGGTTAAAGCTCAGCAGGATCTAGCGGGGGCGTCTGGTTTGAGTTAGGGGAACGTGAGAGCTGCGACCGTGGGCGGTGCGTAGCGTTCCCTCCGCCCCCTCTGCGACCTCCGGGTTTGTGCCCGGCTTCGGCCCCTCCTCTCCTGCTCCCCTGGGGCTCAGCCTCTGGGCCAAAGGGTGTCCTAGGGCTCCAGGTAGGGAAGGGGCGTTGAGCCGCCTCTCCTCGCCTGGCGGGGTAGTGGAGGCGTCTCTGCTCGGTCTTAATTAGAGGTCTCGAGAGGCTGAAACTAAAAAATTATACAGGCGGTGGGAACCGGCGCCTTCTGCGTCCTGGTCCTGCCTCCCTACCCCCAGACAAGGAGCCCAGGATGAGGGGGTTTACACCATACTCTGTAATCTTCCTGCAGTGATTTCTAACCGGGCCTCCTACCCCAGATCCTGGGACTCCTCAGCCCTGAGCAGCCCTCAGCCTCGCTGGAGTGTGTTCTCTCTTGCCCTGCACCATCCTCACCCCGACCCCGCACGAAGAAGTGTGCAGTGTGGCCCTGAGACCGTAGCCTTGCTCCAGAGACTGCCCAGGGAGACGGACCTAGTTCTCTTGACTTCCTGCTTTCTCCACCTTAGCCTCCTAGGCTCTGATTTCTGCCTCCTCCCTAAAGCAAGAGGGAGCAGCGCCTCCCAGAGCACCTACAATCCAGAGAGGGTGGCAGCATCCTTAGGTGACCTGGGTCCCAGCCCCAACTTCTGGGCAGCCCGCCAGGATAGAAAAGGATGTTCGAAAGAAAGTTCAGAGCAACTCACCCACCAGATACCCCCCTTCATTCCCACAGACCGCCAGCCCCAGAGCCTGTCTGACCCCTAAACCCCAATTTCCTAAATCCTCCCCTAGTTTCATCCTCACCTTCTTGGAGTTTTGATAAAAGAGGAACCAATATGCTAAATCTCAGTTCCCAGGCCTTACTGTGTGACCATCCCTAGGCTCTGCCCTCTCTGGTCTCCGACTTCCCTGAGAATCCCTGAAACATACCATCGCTTAAGGGGTCTTACCTTACCTAGACAAACTGAAAGAAGATCCATTCCGTTTTTTCTGAGTCTTCCCAGACCCTCCCCTCCGGCATCAATGAGGGTCAGGCGCTTTGGCTGAGGTTGTCACCCCATTTATTGGAGAAGACCCCAGCACCCACCCCCTGCGGTCTTGGGGGCTTTGGTGTGTCCTCTGTCATGAGTGCTGGATCCAGGGAACAGGAAGCCCTCTGTCCAGCTGGGCAGCCCCCTTGGGTCCCCGGTGAAGCCTCAGCCATGTGTCCAGCCATGTCCCTTCCTCCTATCTGCAGGGGGCATCTGTGCCCTGTCACACGCTGGTTCTGCAGGTCTGTACCCCTGTGAAGCTGCCCCTGGGCGGCACGGGTTCTGTTTGGCCTTTGCTCCCAGCGTGGGTGACCCAGCGATAGCAGTCAGTGATGCGCTTGTTGGGTGCGTGGGGGCCACAGCGGGTGCAGTACACGATGCCTAGTGCAAGCAGGACCACCAGGAAGACACACGTTGGCACTAGGAGTGCCACCAGCAGCCACCGGTCATCCCTCTGGCTTTGACCTGCTAGACCAGCCTCTGCCAGAGCTGTTGGAACTGCTGTAGGGACCACCTTGGGAGTAGGGCCACCTTCCCTTGGGACTTGGGGAGCTTTGGAACGGGGATGTATAGGGCTGATGCGTGAGGTCTGGTTAGCTGGGCTTTCAGGAGGCAAAGGAGAAGGGAGGGCTGGGAGTTGGGTGGCAGTCGGCACAGGGGCCTGATGGGCAGGGGTCCCAGGTGACCCAGAGGTAGTGGGGAGGGTGGGCTGGACAGTTCGGGTAAAAGAAAGCTGGGGGGCTTGGGCCCTGACGCCTGTGACATCTATGAACGGAGGAGGTTGATGGGAACTTGGGGTAGTGTCCAGGGGGGCAGGGTTAGCTGGAATTCCAGAGAGATGAGTGGTGGTCTGGGTGTCGGCCACCTGAGGGTCCGGAAACATGGGAGATAGGTGGGTAGGGAAGAACTGGGGATATTTGGCTGAGGTAACAGGGGGCTGGCGGGCAGGGGGCTGTGCTGGGGCAGCTACAGAGATAACTTGGGGCTGGTGGGCAGAAGGCAGATGTGGATAGTTGTTCCAGATCATGGGAGGCTGGTGTTCAGGAAGCACAGCTGGGTGCATGGCAGGGATCATGGGGTATCGATAGGCAGGGCTCAGGGGTGGGTGTGTGGCAGAGATAATAGGGGTCTGGTGGACAGAAGATAGAGTGGGGTGCATGGCAGAGATCTCAGGAGGTCTATGGGCAGGGCTTAAAGGTGGGTGTGGGGGGATCTGGTGAGCAGAAGGCAGTGTGGGGCGCAGGGCAGAGGTCACAGGAGGTCTGCGGGCAGGGTTCAGGGGTGGGTGTGTGGCAGAGATAATAGGGGTCTGGTGGACAGAAGATAGAGTGGGGTGCATGGCAGAGATCTCAGGAGGTCTATGGGCAGGGCTTAAGGGTGGGTGTGGGGGGATCTGGTGAGCAGAAGGCAGTGTGGGGCGCAGGGCAGAGGTCACAGGAGGTCTGCGGGCAGGGTTCAGGGGTGGGTGTGTGGCAGAGATAATAGGGGTCTGGCGGGCAGAAAGCAGTGTGGGGCGTGTGGCAGAGATTACCACGGGCTGAGTGTCAGAGATCACTGAAGAGTGGTAGGGGACCCTGGGGGCACTGAGTGGGGGTGGCCAGGTGGGCTCCAGATGGGGTCTCCTCGGTTCTCGCTGTCCTGGGAAGCTGGGTCTATAAGCCAAGCCGAAGTCCGGTGGCTGTGTGGGTTTCATCCACAGGATCCCAGCATCCTTTCTCCAGCCACCTTTAAAGTCCTTCCAGGCCTCCTGCACCTCCTCCTCCTCTTCCTCTTCTTCCCGATTGTCCACCACCTCTTCTCCAAGGTCCTGGGAAGCCCTGGTGCCCATGGCACTTGTGGGGGTACAGTTGCTGCCATCTTCTTGGAGCTCGTGACCCTCTCTGCAATAGCACTCAAAGCCACCAACATAGTTGACACACATCTGCTGGCACACACCGGCAATCTGGCACTCATCTGTGTCCACGCAGCGGTGTGGCTCATCCTCTGCTGGTCGGAAGCCCAGGAGACAGTGGCAGCTGTACCCATGTGGCCCACCAGGTTCACAGTGCTGCTCGCACGGAGCATGGAAACAGGGGTCCTCACAGCTGCGCCCATCTGCTGCCAACCGGAAGCCCTCAGTGCAGTGGCAGGACACCTGACCATTCATGTCCTCCACGCACTCATGTTCGCAGCCCCCGTTGTCCGGGCCACAGCCAGTCCCTGGGCACAAGGGCCCAGCCTGGGACCAGCCCACACCTCCTTCAGGCTGCTTCACGCAGAGCAGAGAGGCTCCCCTGCCAGCCTGGCACTGCACAGCCGCCACGGACCCGAAGGGCAGCCACTCAAACTCCGTAGAGACCAGGTGGAAGGGTGTGGTGTAGACGATGGGGCCGGCCTGGCCGGCCTCATCCGGCAATGCTGGGCAGGCACCCTCGAAGCCAAACTGGCACAGGTAACCATCAATAGGCAACGTGCACGACCCCTCGTGCCAGCGATGGGCATGGCTGGCCTCCAGGGCCACACAGCGCTGGGCCATGCAGGACCCTCCCGTGGCTTGCTGTGCCCAGTTGGTGAAGGCAGTGTCCTGGTCTCCCGTGGTCCATGTGAAGCCACGAAGTGGGCGCTGCAGCTGGCACTGCCGTGCCTGTCGCTGCAGTCCAATCCACAGCAACTTGTCCTTTGGGCCAGTGCCCACCAGGCTGTCCACACGCCGGGCCTCCTCAGCTGTCCTCGGTGTGGCCAGGTTGCCCCCTAGTTCACGGCAGGCCCTCCAGGCTTCCAGGAAGGTGCGGGATTCGGGGTAGAGAACATAGCAGCTGCTGGGCCCGCAGGTTGCGTGGGGCTCATTGGGCCAGGAAGCCTGGCCCAGTGTGGGCACTGCGGCCGCCCAGGCCAGCAGCAGGCGCAGCAGCATCACGACGCCCCCTGACTGGTCTGGCTGGGGCTTGCGGCTGCTCTTGACAGGGGGAGGGACGGGGCCTCCAGCAGGCGGGCCAGGGGGCGGGCCTAGGCCGGGCTCAGGCCTTGTAAGGAGTGGGCTGGGGCGGCTGCCAGCTCCTGCTCCTGCTCCCCCAGGGCCACGGGAGCAGGAAGCAGCGGGGTGGGGGTGCTGGGGTTGGTGGAGGAGGGAGGAGGCAAAGTATAGGGACTGCCCCAGGCCCCACAGGGCTGGGAGTCAGGAAGCCAGGATCTGTTGCTTGCTGAGACGGGACCCTCCAAACCCCAGTGCACTGCAATCCAGGGGCTCAGTTCCTCCAGCTAAGTTCACTTTCCCAACACCAACAGACGCACTTACATGTGCATGCTCCTCTCCCCACCCCCTGGGCAGGGGCACACGCAGGGCCACCCTCTGTGCCCGGCTCAGAACTGCCAATCCAGCACTTTGCCTCACCTGGCCCAGGCGAGCCTGCAGACCCTTGTCCCCCAGTGCACATCTGCTGACATGCTCCACCCCGATGGTGCTCCTTCCGAGATGGTGTGGCAGCCCACATGGCTGAGCTTGTGAGGTCCCTCACGTTCCTGTACAGGCCCTGAGTGGCCAATGACCCAGGCCTGGACGCCCTAACCATCCTACCCCCGCTCTGTTCTCTGTTCCCTGAGTCCCTTCCGAGTCCCTTCCTCCGTCACCCCACTCCCCAGAGTCCTGGCTCCAGCTGGGCCAGCCCGAGGGGGCAGGGAGAGGGGCAAGGACTGCCTCTTCTTCACCCCTGCTCAGCTGGGGACACTGGGAACCTGGGATTAGAGGGGGAGGAGAAGCCCCCAAACAGGAAATGCCTCTCTGGGCTCCTGCTGCAGGAGGGCAGAGTGTGTGGGTTAGGGGGCTGGGCGGGGGCTGGGCTGCTCTCTGGGCAGATCCAGCTGTGATGGGCCCGGTGCAAGACCATGTATGGGCACGGGACACACAGTGACACATTCACATGTGTGTGACAGGGGCTTCATGTTGTGGAGCCCTCCCCATCCCTCAGGGGCCGCTGCATAGGAGGACCTTTTTCCACTCTCCCTCCAGACCTCTGGAGGCCATCAGACCGAGCCTGTCACCCAGGACAATCCCGAGGAGGTGGTTGAAAGTTAACTCATGTTCGCAGCTGTATCACATTTTTTTATGCCTGATTGATTGATTGAGATGAGTTTTTGCTATGTGGCCCAGGCTGGCCCCAGACTCCTGGGATCAACCAGTCCTCCTGCCTCAGCCTCCCAAGTAGCTGGAACCATAGGCATGTGACACTGGCTGACCCATTATATTCTTAGTAGACAGGTGAGCCAGGGATGAGGAGGTAGAGAAGAGGTTCTACCACTCAGGATACTGCCCGGGTACAGCTTCTCACTCTGCCTCTGATCTGCTGTGTGGCTTCAGGAAGGTTACTGACCCTCTCCAAACCTCCATTTTTCTTATGTACAACATGGGGATACTGTGTCCAGGTCTTTTAGCTCAGTGTGGCTAGTGCATCTCAGCACAGAGGGCTTTGTCAGCTGTGAAGCGTGAGGCAAATGTCCCTTAGTCTTCTGAGTGTGTAGCGGTGGGCAGGTTGGCCTTTACTATCCGCCTTTCAGTACCAGCCTGGCCCTGCACACCCAGCCAGTGTCTAAGAACCAGGGCTTATGAAATGCCTGCTCTGTGCCCAAAATTCAAGGTCTTTGCCTCTGAAGCACATGGACTCACTCTCCTTCTTGGGGGAGGAAAGGCAGTAGGCATAGCCTACCCCTGAGTTCACCCTTGACTCCTCTCTTTCTCCCACACCCCAAGTCCAGCCTCTCAGCAAGTCCTCTTGACTTCATTCTCAGAATCAACCCACGCCTGCCCACTTCCCATCACCTTCTTTGCCACCCACCCTTTGCCCATGCCACTAGCATCTTGAAACCATACACACACACACACACACACACACACACACACACACACCTTCTCTCTCACCTCCACCCTGCCAGAGGGATGCTTGCTCTTATTTATTCTTTTTTTTTAAAGTTTTTTATTTTTGAGACAGGATCTTCCCATGTAGTACAGGCTGGCTTTCAGCTCACTATGTAGCCCAGTCTGGCCTCGAACCCTTGAACTCAAACTTGTAATGATCTTCCTGCCTCAGCCTCCCAGAATGCCAGAATTACAGGCAAGGGCCACCACACCTGGCAGGAGGATGCTCTTAAAACTTAGGTCAATTCTGGTCATTCTTTTGGTCAGTGGTAAGGTCAAAGTCTTCGCCACGTGACCTGGCTCCAAACAACTCTTCCCACCCCATCCCTCTCACTCCCTCTGCACTGGCCTCTCTGGCCTCCTTGCTGGTCCCCAGCCTGCGGGACACTCTGCCTTCAGACTTTCACCTGGCAGCGCCTCTGCCTGGAGCGTATTTCCTGCCATCTCCAAATGCTCTTCTTCTTTCTTTACTTTTCTCCAGTTGGTCTCAGTTAAGTGTCGGAATCCACAGCCCCTGCCCCACATCCTGCTCCATTTCCCCTGTGCACTATGACTCTCTGACATGGTATAAATAGACTTACTTGTCGTTTCCTTATGGCCTGAACCCTCCTGGCCAGTCTCCCACCTCGATCTGCAGTGCAGGACAGTGTTGTAAGGCCTGTGCTGTACCTGGGCGCGGTTACCAGTATCTTCGACTTCTGTCTAGATGTTGGTAGTTGTTTGAGACAATCAAAACTGTCCTCAGACACTGCTCCACAGCAACGTCACCCTCAGTGGAGAACCTCTGCCCTGGGAGACTGTGAACTCCATGCTAGGGGTCATGGTCCTGTTCCCTGCTGTATCCCTAAAGTCTAGACAGCTCCTAGACCATAGATACTGCTCATTAAAGGTTTGTTGAATGACTGAATGAGGCTCCCATGAGTGTTTAAGGAGATGCAAGGAGAGCTGGGGTTCTCCCTGAAGTAAAGCCTACTTGCTCCCCATACTCTTTGGCCGACCCCTTGGAGTCAGCCCTCCTAACCTGGGAGGTCGCTTGAAACCAGCAAGTCATTTTGCAGTTGGGGACACTGAGGCTCGTGAGTCTTAGAGCAAGTCAGTGGCAGGGCTCAGGCTAGAACCAAGGTTTCCTGATTCTTACTCCAGTTCTCTTTTGCTGTAGTCCCCTGCTGCGTCCTTCAAGCTGGGAATGAGACACAATGTCAAGAAATGGTGGTGAGAGAAAAGAGATGCAGCTAGATAAAGGTCCTGAGGTAGGCGCTCAGGATGGGTGGGCCTAGAAGCGGAGAGCACAGGAGACAGAACAGCAGGAAGGGAGAAGCAGTGTGCTTTGCAAGGCCACCAAGCTGCCCCTCAGAGCCAAGGCTCCGCTGTGGTGGCCATGGTGGGAGAGCTCTCAGGCTGGGTTTTAGTGGGTGGAGGGGACCCGAGGCCAGGGACCCGTTAGGAGGCTGTTGCAATTGTCTGGGAAAGAGGAGGGAGCTGGCTGCAGAGCCGGGGAGCAGGGCGGGCCGGGCTGGGGGAGGCAGCCTCTGGAGGCTCCTTATGGGCGGTCCTGAGCCTGGTCCAAGGGTGTGGTGAGCCCAGTCATGATTCGGGCAATGGCCAGTGCCGGGGCGTCTTAGAGCAAGGCTGCAGGCCGTCTGGCGAGTGGGTGGGTCAGATCAGAGGGCAGGACCCCAGCTTTAGTGGTGGTGAAGGTTTGGGGAGCAGGCAAGGGAAACAGGAGGAGGATGAGGGTCAAAGGCCAGATTCCAGATGTACTAGCTGGGCCCCCTTGCAGATGGAGGGAAGTCTGAGTGGGATGGTGGCAGCGGGTAGAGGGGCCATCTTTGCTCCCAACAAGGTCCAGTGGATCAAGGGTGAATGCTGGAGGTGCACATGGGCACCTAACTTGGGAATGTGCCTGGCACTCATCTGCCTCCTCCACGTAGGGGCAAGGCTGTCTCAGAACTTTCAGCCCTGGTTTGGGTGATGGAGGACACAGTGACACAGTGAGAACCTCAGAGATCTGGGTGTGAGGAGTGAAAAAGGGGCTGGTTGGGATCTTCCTTTCCCAGCTGGTCTGGTTGAGCCTGTTTTACCTTGAGTTACTCATAGCACAGAGAAATGCTAATTGATGCAATAAATGTTTGGAGGGTGGGTGAGTGGATATATATGTTTGTTTTGTTTTATTTTGTTTTGATTTTGGTCTTTTTGAGACTGTGCAGTTCAGGCTAGCCTTGAACTCACTTTGTAACCCAGGCTGGCCCAGGCTGGCCTCAAACTCACAGCGATCCTCCTGCCTCAGCCTCCCGAGTGTTGGGATTATAGGCATGCACCACCATGCCTAGCTTTTTCCTGGTTTTTTGAGATAAGGTCTTGCTGTGCACTTCAGGCTGCCCTTGATCCACTATGTAGCTCAGGTAGGCCTCAAACTTCCAGTGATTCTCCTGCTTCAGCCTCCTGAGTGCTGGGATTACAGGTGTGCACCACCATATCTGAGTGGATAAGTAGATGGTTGCTTGGGCTCATGGGAGATGCACGAATGGGTAGATGGATGTACAGATGCTGGGGCCAGTGCATGGATGAATGGATGACCGCAGAAATGCATGGATGTTTTGGTTTTTTTTTTAGTTTATGTATTTATTATTATTACTGGTTTTTCTATGTATGTGGTGCTGGGGACCGAACCCCGTGCCTTCTGCATGCAAGAAAAGAGCTCTACCACTGAGCCACATCCCCAGTCTCAGCCCCAGGAATGCATGGATGGATGGATGAGTGGGTGTACAGAGGGATGGTTAGGAGGAAGGGTGGGTGGTAGGCAGACAGGCGTGCAGATGGATGGATGTAGGGGTGTATACATGAATGGGTGTACGGGTAAGGTGTTTAGATGCACGGTGGATATGGGGTACGGGCAGACGTGGTAGGCTCTGATTCATGACTAGCAGCCACCATGATGAGTGCCATGCTCAGAATGGACCTCTATGGCTCTGCAGGATGGTGGGACAGCGTGGGCTGCCCCCCCCCCCCCAAGGACCAGTGTGCTGCTCTCCTGTCACCATGAAGCTGTGTTCGCCTCTGGGGCCTGAGGCCAGCGTGTTTTCCTGCCTGGGAGGTGGGTGGCATTGAACCTACTAAGCTTGTCCACACTGAGAGTCAGAGTTGGGGTTCCCCGCTCTGATCATGGGCTGTATGGGTGCAGCTCACCTCAGGAGGGGCATGAAAACAGAAGCCCACAGCCCCAAGAGGACCCGAGGCCAGGGACCCATTAGGAGGCTGGCAGCTACCCGGACAAGCAAGGGGCAGATGGTGCTTTCACGTACAGCGTGCGGGCCTATGGGGGAGAGGAGGGCGGCCTGCAGTAGGGGTTGGGCCTGAGCAGGCCCGTGGAACAGCCGGGTGGGGAGGTTGGTGTGATTGGGGGGCGCCCCCCGGGCCGGCGTCCTAGAGAGCCTTGGCACTCGCGGGGCTGCTGAGCCAGCGCATTGCTTTGTGTACAAATCACCTCCTTTCCCTACGTTCCCATCCCCCACTGCCCTCCATGTCTAAATTCTTCCCAAACCAGCCCAGCCTCAGGCTGTCCGAAGACAGGACCGACTTGGTGGGTGGGGGGGCGGAGGCCCGGATGAGGGAGGTGGTTAGGAGGAGGGGAGGGAAGAAAGCCTGCGTAGCCCCCAGCCCAGTGTTCTGCATTCCCTGTGTGCTTCTGGCTGGGGGAGCCCTGTAGCAAGGGGCCATGCATGGGGACAGAATCGGTGGGAGAGACAGGCTTGTGAAGTCTGCCTGCTGAAGGGCTGACGGTGGGGTGGTGCCTTTGCCATGGAGAGAGACCCTGTGTATGTTTGTGGGTACACAGTGTGTGTGCACTTGCACAGGCCTGCCATCTCTGTGGATATGCGCAGCTAAGTGACGTGTGTGTGTGTGTGTGTGTGTGTGTGTGTGTGTGTGTGTGTGTCCCCGTCCTAGTAAGGCCACACCTGCACGCACAGCTGTGAGAAGGAAGCATATGGTTGCCCCTGATTGCCCAATTTAGGCCCAGCTGGGAGCCCAATTCCTTTTCCTGGCAGATGATGGACCTGAACATCTGGACACATTTGCCCTCAAGGGAATCCTAGCCATGTGTAGTGGCACATGCCTGTAATCCCAGTACTCTGGGAGACTGAGGCAGGAGGATTGCAAGTTTGAGCCCAGGCTGGGCAATTTAGCAACTTAGGGAGACCCTGTTTGAAAATAAATAAATAAATAAATAAATAAATAATTTTTTTAAAAAAGGACTTGGGATCCTCAATGCAGTCTGGGTTCTGTTTTCAATATCAAAGAGGGAGAGAGAGAGAGAGAGGAAGAAGGAGGAGGAAGACAGGATGAAAAGAAGAGGAAGAAACAAAGAAAGATAATCTATTGGGGCTGGGGATTTAGCTCAGCGGCACAGCATCTACCTGGCAAGCATGAGGTCGTGAGTTCAGTTCCCGGTACTGGGAAAAAAAAAAAAAGAAAGATAATCTATTTTATCCCACCACTTGGGAGGCTGAGGCAGAAGGATCTGTAGTTCAAGGTCAGCCTAGGCTATATAATGAGACCTTGTCTTTAAAAAAGGCAGGCGGGGGGAGGGGTGATCCTGGAGCCCATGTCAAACTGGAAAGGCCTAGACCTGCCCCTCAGCGTGCAGATAGCCCTCCCCAAGGATGAGGTGTCCTTAGTTGTGGAAGGGTCCCTGTGGGAGTGGACCCTGTACCCATGGCCTATCACCTAGGGGGAACAACTTATTCCAGTTTTCCAAGGACTAGAATTCAGGTTTCAGCACTGAAAGTCCCTGGGAGATAGATGATTGTCAGGGCCACAGGGACAACTCTTTCTGCCACACCCTTCCCCAGTACCTCAGCCTTCCCTCCTGCACCACCCCCTCTGGAACTTTCTCGAAGGCTCTTACTTTCCCTTCCTGTTCTCTGTGTCAGCGCCTCTTCCTCCTGCCCCCTCAGCCTCCCCAGGGATCTCCGTAGCTCCCTGCCCCTCCTGCTGCCTGCAGAGCCTTTTCCTTGTCCCCTCTCTTGCTCTCCAAGGAAGAACCTGGGGTCTCCAGCTCTGCCTCGGTCTCAGCGACCTGTCCACTCTCCAGCCGGCAACGTGGACCCTTTGGCTGGGAGCTCTCTGTTCTCTGCCTCCTTTTTTTTATCTCCCCCCTCTGTCTCCAGGGTTTCCAGTCTCTGTCACAGCCTCTGGCTTGTCATTGTCCCTGGGTGGTCCACCCTCCTCCTCTCTCCTGGCACTGCACCTCTGGGGTGGGTTGGAGTGGGCGCCAGGTCTGGGGGCTGTGACCAGGCCCGGAAGGAGAACCCAAGCAGACGTGATATTTATGTTGGGACTTCAAAGTGCAGCACAGGCTGCGGCGGGGGTGATGGGGGCTGTGGAGCAAAAGCCAGACTGAGATCCATTTAGGCTCCTCCCTGGAGAGGGTCTCCTTGGTGACACACACCTCCCCGTGGGACACGGAGACCCAGAGTAGAGAAGGAACAGGCTATTTTGGTGCAGAGTTCCAAGAAAGGCACTTCCTGTGCCCTTGCCCCGGCCCAGCCCCATCCTTTCTTCCTGTCACCCTGGGCTCCCGGCCCCCACCTCCGCTCAGCATCGGCCTGGCTGGAGAGGCAGGGGGTTCTGGGGGTGGCAGGAGCAGAGGGCTCGATCTCAGCAGGAAAACATCCCTGGCGCTGGGACAGCCGTGCATTCTCATTGTCTGGCTGAGGTCTTGCCTGGCAGGGCCATGTGGGTCTGTAACCCTGTCAGCCCCAACTGACCGGGCCAGGCAGACCCAGCCCCTTAGGGCCTCTGGAGTCCACTTTTGGGCTGCCTGCCTGAGGGACAGAGGGGCCATCTCGAAGTTCACCCCACCCCTGACCCCCGCCCTTGGCCTAACCCCTACTAAAGACACCCAGCTGCTGGGTGGGGCGGGGTGGGTGGGCAGGGCTGATTGTCTCATCGTGCTGCTCAGTTCTGGGGCCTAAGCCCCTCCCAGAAGCCCCACCCCGCAGGCACCCCTGAGGCTGGGCCACCCCTCAAGAATCCCCAAAACCCCTGATCTGGGTCAGGAGCCTCTCTCTAGGCTCAGGACCCTCAGGACCCAAGCCCACCCAGGCCCCCAGAGCACCAGTCTCCGGGCCCAGGGCCCCTCCCAGACCCTCCCCAACTCTTCCTGTGAATCACGCCTGCTGGAATCTGATGAGCTCAGGCCTCCCCGCCCAGTGCTGCCTGCCTCTGCCTCCTGCCTGGCTGGCAGGGTCGCCATACCCCTCACAGGGGTCTACCCAGCCACTCACAGTCCCCTCCGTGGCCACCAGGGGCTGGGGTTGGGAGTAAGGCAGGGTAGGCCAGGGCTTGGAGGGAGATTAGTTAGGAGAGAGGTCTGAGCTCTGGTGCATGCTCAGAAGTATACAAAGCACACGAGTGTGTCTGTGTCTGTTGCGTGTGTCTGTGTGTGTGCCCACGTGGGTGTTTGCACATCCAGGGTTGGGACAGTGTGGGAAGCGGAGCTGAGTGCTGTTTCCAGGGTGTATGTTACTGCGCCTGAGGGGAGATGTGGGTGTGGCTGGAGCTCCGCATGGGTAGGTCTAGGTTTGTCAGGAGGTCCCTGTGGAGTTGATCACCACAGGTGTCTGGGCTGACGGTCCCCACGTGTCATCTCAGTGCTGTGGTGTGCCTGTTAACTTTGGGGGTGACTGGGTTACTGTACTTGCTATGGCTGGGAGGGTGTCACACACTTGTGTTGGAATGTGGGTCAGGGTGTCACTGTGTGTTAAATGGCGGATGTGAACATGGGTCCCAGGGCCATGGCAGGGTGGGTCCCTGTCTGCTGTCCATCCCACCCTGCTCAGGCCATCCCGTAGGGATGGGACAATGGGCTCCTCTGTCACCCACTTTCAGGTTCCTTTTTGCAGAATCCCTGCTTCTCTCCTAGCACCAGGCTGTACATAGATCCTCTGGATTCTCCAAGTCCGCTGGACGGCCGCAACAGAAGACACCTGGCGTGAGGCTGGAGATGAGGTGTGCACACCCCCTGCTGGCAGTGATGGAGAATGTGCCATCCAGAACACGGGAGCACTTCCCTCAGAGCCGCCCAGGAGCCATCACGCTGTATCATTCCGTATGTATTTACTAAGTGCCAATTCCGGCCAAGGCATTGTCCTAGGCCCTCGTGATTTAGCTGGGAATGAGGCTGACTTGGCTCTAGCACACCAGAGGGAGAGACAGACAATAAACAAACTCACATGGACCACAAGGGTGACTTTAGAAGTGCTAAGTGCAGTATTTCTAAGCAAGGAAATGACTTGGCTCCTCTCAAAAGACCAACACCAGGTCGGGGTCCCAGGCCTGCCCTGTGGCAGTGAGAGTGGAAAAGTCATGTCCCCTCCCAAAGCTGTGGCTTCCTCTGCCAGGAGGACAAAGCGTTTGAGGGAGTGCAGAACCCCTAGCTCACAGTGGGGACGAAGCACCAGATCAGGGTGAGGGTGGGGAGACTCGACTTGCTTCCTTGTGGCTGGGGCTGTGGGTGCTTGGTCCATACCAGGTACTTGCTAGGTTATGGTTGAGTGGACAAGGTAGTGAGTCTATTTGAGGAAATTATAGAACCTGGTGTTTGAATCTTTTGCTTTTAAGAAGTCACATACCCCAAGGAAGACTGTTTCCTCCTCTGCCAAATGAGGATGATATCAGTCATAAACCGGACTATTACTGCCTGAGCTCCTGCCCCTGAACCATGACCTTTGGCCATGCAGCTTTGAGCAATCACACAGACCAAAGCCCCAGGCAGTGGGCTGGAGGACCTGGGAGTGTTCCCATGAGCCATTGCTGAGGGGCACATGAAATTCCAGGCGTAGGAGCTGGGACTGAGTGTGAGAGAAGTGAGAGGTCCCAGAGGTCCTGTTCCAGTTCCTAGCTCCTTTAGTCCCAGCTCCTTAGTCTGAGCTCCACATCCGGTTCCTGGGGTTCCCTAAGCATCCCCTGCAGACATTCCAGGTCCTTCCTCTGGGACTAAGCTGGACACATCCTGTGTTAGATTCCCAGAAGCAGCCCTCCCTTTTCCTTCCTAGGGTCCCTCACTCCTAGTTATTACACTCCAGTCCATGGACAGGTTTTATTGAGCACCTATTGTGCGCTCACACTGAACAAGGCACTGGGGATGGGGGCGGGCAGGGAGGACACACACAGAATAAATGGGAGGCTTCCTCTCAGTAAGGAGATGGGGTGGGGGGAGCACAGAGTTGAAGCGGAGCATTTCAGTAGTCTAGTGAGAAATTTGGGAGCCCCATACCTGGGCTGTCTATAGGTTGTGTGAAAGCCCACATCCATGATTTCTGCCTCCTGGTTATCATGTCATATGTGGGTTGATGTCCCTTTGTGCTCAGCTCATGAAAGTAGTGTCACTCAGACTGGCTGGGGTCTTCCTCCATCCCGGGACAATTCCTTCCTGAGGAATAGTCCCTGAAAGGCTGGTATGACCTAGACCCCTAACTCCAAGGGGCCCAAGGACTAGTAATACCGGTCCTTCGCTGTCCCCAGGTTGCCCTAAGGCTGCAGGTGAGCACAGACAGTGACCCATGACGCCTGCCTAGGGCGCACCCTCCCGGCGGCTTCCTGGGCCGCACGCGCCCCCTTGTGGTCAGCGATTGGCATTTTTATTTGTTCAGATTTGCCTCCTGAGTTTCCCTTTGGGGCTGTCCCCGCCTTGGGGGGGATTTGCTGTGTTATGTCTTGGGAGTTGCCTTCTCGTACCTCAAAGGGGCCAATGCGCCACGCCTCGCATCGCCATAAAGCTTTTATGAGGGCCAGAAGTTTAGTGCTGAGAAAATGGTTTCAGAGCCTCTTTTCCATTCCAGCTCAGCTCCGGAAGGTGGGCATTATTTCCACTGGCCGACTCCCCTGGGTACCTAGGAGGGCTTCCAATCCTGGGAGAAGCTCCAACATGGTGCTTTCTTCCCCAGAACGTGGCCTGCAGCCAATAACCTTCCCAGACTGATGGAGGGAAAAGCCGCTCATAAGCGCCCCTTGGGCAGGGGGTGGGCTCATGGAAGGGAGCAAGTGGGAGCTGCTAACACCCAGCTTCTCCCCTCCCTTCTCCTGTGGTCTGAGCTCTGCTTTCCAGCAAGGTCATCCACTGGAGCACTTCCGGGAGGTGGGCAAGGCAGTCCTACATCCCTACTTTGCAGATGAGGATGCTGAGGCTGGGAGGAGCGGGTCCTTCCAGGGACCTTTGCTGGCACTGTGCTGCCTTCCTGAGTCTTCCAGACACCAGAAGTGACTGAGCCTTTCAGGACCTTGAGGGCCCCAGTAGCCCCCCTGCACTCACAGGGTGGGGGGAGATATAACAGGGCCAGACCCCCACACACCCAGCAGGCCAGAGGCTAGGCCTCAGTTGGACTCTTTCCCTATTGGACACACTCACCCCTGCAGGCTGCAGAAGAAGAGGCAAAGGACACAGAGGTCTCCTAAACCCCTCAACTTTACCCCAGTCCCTCAGCTGTGACCAGGCCCCAGCCCTCAGCAGATGTGCTCATGGAGGTAAGTATCAGGTGGTGGCGGACACAGGAGAGGGCTGGGGTGGGGGTGGCCAAGGAGGCTGTGGCCTTGCTGAGTGGGGCTGGTGGCTCTGCTGGCCTTCTCCGCAGGCTTCGGCCCCAGAGGATCTTCTGGTCCCTTCCAGCTACTCTTCTGTGGCCAGGCTTCCCTCAGCCTCCGGCTCCCTTGCCTGCACATAGCCTCCTCCAGCTTGATGCTTGCTCCGCTCAGCAGCCTTGTATTCTCCCCTGCTGTCCTTGGGGCTGGCTTTGACCCCCACGCTCCGCTCTCCCTGGACTCCTTTTTCCTCTTCCCGGCTGCCTGCCTCTGGCTGCCCACTACCCATCTTCTGTCTTGCATCCTCCTGGGTCTCAGGCCGCTCTGCCCGGCGGTAGACGAGGTAGCCAGCCGTTGGAAGCCTGTGGGCCAGAGCTCCTGGGGGCAGGCGGTGGTAGCTCTGCTCCTTGTACAGGAAGAGGCCGAAAGCATTGGGCTGGGTCACTCGGAACTTGGTGGCACAGAGCTGGCTCAAGGTGGCAATCGAGACCCCTGGGGGCACAGCCAGGGTCTTGGAGGTGCACCCACTGCTGGGGTCCTGGTAAGCCACTCTGAGGAGGTGCTGTATAGGAGAAGTAAAAACAAGACTCAGTCCTGCCTGGTGCCAGACAGACCAGTGAAGGCAGTGTAGGAACAGGCCTTGGTTGTTATGTATCCAAATGTGGAACCAACTGACAAAATGATATCACATGGAGATTACTCATTCTGCACCAACTGGCTTAATCCTCATAGCTGTCCCAGGTACCCATTTTATAGATGGAAAAATTGAGGCACAAAGAAAAGAGAAACTTGCCCAAGCCCCCACAACCAAGAAGAGGTAGAGCCAGAATGAACCCAAGAGACCCAGTTGCAAGAGTTGGGACTTGCAAGCAAGGTTGAGAAGAGTGAGGGACGGGTGTGGCTGTCTCTGAGGATACCTGGGCCACAGCCCAGATGCAAGGATGGGCTGAAGCTTGAGGACAGGGGAGGCAGAACCCTGGCTAAGGCCTGAGGCCGGGATTTGGGGCCCAAGTCTGCTACCTATGTCCCTTTCCCTCTCCACGGTGGTCTTAATGCCCTATCTGCAAAATGGGGATAATTACTTCTCAGTTTCTGTGAAGACTTGGGAGGGCTGCCGCTGGAGTGTCAGCCCAGTGCAGGTATACGGAGCACCCTCCATAGGAGGCCGCTGCAAGGGACGGGGCAGGGGGACTGTGCAGGAGAATGTCAGGGCCTCTCTGGGCCTGGCTGGTTGGGGTGGATGAGGTGGCAGGGCCCTGTTACCTGGGAGCTGCGGGTAGCAGGCAGGCACCGCTGCTCCCAGAGCCTCAGGGAGCACTGCAGCTCCTGCGCGGGGCTCAGAGGGAGAGTGTGAGATTGGCTTAAGCTGCTCAGCAGGGCCAGGCCGGCGGACAGGCTGGTCAGGTAGTAGCCACCTGGGACACAAGGGGCCAGAATGCAGCTCAGGCAGGGCTGAGGTGACCTGCTCCCCGTCGCTGCTTACTCAGAGCCGATATAGCAGCTGAGGACCCCAGGCCCACCCAGACAGGGAGGCGGCACCCCTCACCCTCTCCAGTGAGCAGGGAAGGCTCCAGAAGCTCTGACATATACTCGGCTTCCAGCAGGAGGTCAGGAAGGTCACACTGGGCCAAGACGAGGCTCAGCAGTGGCAGGAACTCGTCAGCACCTGCACTCTCCCCTTAGGGACATGGGAGGAGAAAGCTTCAGGCTTCTCTGGGTCAGAGTCTAATCCTTGACTGAGATAATGACCCCTTCCCTCTGTCTGCCAGCTCCTGGGCCGTGGGATCACCCCAGCAATCACAAGAATAGCTGTACAGAGGCCTTGGTTTTATCATCTGAGATAGAAGGGTAGGATTATTCTTCTCAGCTGTGCCATTCCAGGGTCCTGGGAGCCTCCCCCTTGCGGGAGGGTTGCCTCTAAGTCAGGGGGTTGGGCAGGGGGAGGTAGGAGGCATACCTGCCTGGGTCCTCAGGGTTGTGTACAGCAACTTGCAGGCCTGCAGGAGCCGCTTGACCTGGGCGCTGGGTGAGTAGGCGCGGAGCAGCTGCAGTAGCTTTTGGCGCACCTGCCCCATCTCTGCCAGGGAGGGCAGGCTCAGGTGAGAGCCGAAGGCGCCAGGGCCCTGGGCCCGGGCCAGGCGGAGGCCCTCAGCCAGGCGGCCAAGGGAGCCATCAGCAGAAAGTCGACGCCGAAGGCGAGCTGCCAGGATGGGCCGGAGAGGCTTGAGCACAGAGCGATGCAGCGACTTCTCCAGGACGTGTTCTGCCAGAGGAGGGGCAGGAGGGGTCACAGGAGAAGGGGCAGAAGCTCTACCAAGCAGGAGGTCCTGAGGGAGGCTGGAGTGGGGAAGACGCAGAGGGTGGCAGCCACTTGAACAGCAGTGAGGCAAGGGGGCCTCGTAAAGCATCAGAACAGCATCAGGGAAGCAGGCGGCACCACGGTGAGGCACACAGAAGTGGCTGGGGAAAGGCTGGAGATAGAGAGCCATGAACCGACCTGCAGAGATCCAAGGTGGCCCTTACCCAGCCTCTCAGGGGGCAGCAGCTTCTCGGGCCCCAGCTCCGCGTTCAGCATGGCCCGGGCCCGGCTCAGTGCCTGGCGGATGCCTTGAAGCTCCTGGGGCTCATGGCCAGCCCGCACCTGCGTCAGGAGATCCTGTACCAGCTGGCCCACGCCTGTGTGTCTGTCCTGCACCAGCAAGGCAGCTGCACGGACCACGTGCCGCTCAGGGGCCAGCAGGGAGCAGAAGGCAGAGCTCATGGACCTAAGCAGTGGCCGCCTGTGCCACTTGCGGCCCAGACTGGGAGAGACTGAGGGGCTGCCCCGGGACCCTGGCGGCCCCTCCTCCTCGGAGCTGCTAGGGGAGCCGCATTCCACCTCCTGGAGGGAGGGCAGGGGTGGGAGGCTAGGGCTGGCACCCCCTGGCACACGGTACCCCACTGAGCTCTCCCTCCGCAGCAGCTGACGAGCGGGAAGCCTCTCCGGGTGGCTGAGGGATGTGCCCGGTAGCTCGGGGACTGGGGGAGGCGGCACGGCAGGTGGAGACAGGGGGCTGGAGGTCTCCGTGGACACACGCACTTTGAAGCTCCTCTTAAATTTCTCACGCTTGGTGGGGCCAAGGTCCCCTGGGAAGAGGGGGTTGAAGAAGCAGAGTGCAGCGCCGGTGCCCTGGTCCAGCTCATGAGGGGAGCGGGCCTTCAGCCGGGGAGCCTGTGCGCCTTCAGACAGGCCCTGGTGAACCTTGGTGTTGAGGGAGGAACTCCAGAACTCTAGGGACCAGAAAGCATGGGGCCTCAGGGCGGGCTCAGAGAGGGCGGCCAAGGAGAGGTGTGGCACCCTCCCTTTCCCTCTTGACCTCAGCTTCTCTGTCTGTGCGGATGGGTGGAGGGGACCCTTACCAATGCCCAGGTGGGAGATGGCCTCCAGCTCCTTGTGGGTGGCTGCCTGTTGGATGGCCCTGGGTAGCCGGAGTGGGAGGAGAAGGATGTCCCTGAGCCAGAAAGGGGGGCAGACAGGAATGAGGGATGCTCAGGTTGGGGGCAAGGGGGTCTGAAGACTGGGGAGGGCAGAAGACACACGGCACCCTGTGGGCAGTCTCACCGGGTGTGACAGTAGGCGCAGATGAGCTGGACTAGGTCTGCGAACAGAAGCTCGGAGCCCTCCAAAGAGACACCTAAAAGACACGGAGTGAGACCGTTCTCTGCCTCCCCCACCCCCATTTCCAGCCCCTTGCATCCAGGCTGGCCCCTCTCACCACCAGGACTCTCCTGGATGTAGTGGCTGGAGACGAAGGAGGGGCCACTGGCCTCGGGCAGCCGCACACACAGGGCCTGGCACTGGCGGGTGTTAGATTTCCGCACCAGAAACGTCTGCAAGTGGCTAAGGTCAGGAGGCTCGGGCCTCGCCGTCCAGCCCCTCTTCCTCCCACCCTCGGCTGGCCGGGGTCACCCAAGACTCACCCCGGGAGGCTCAGTCCTCAGCACATGCAGAGCTGCAGCAGCATTGGCCTGAAGCTGCAGCCACACGGGCCGGGTGAGCAGCAGGCGCTCCCGAGGGCTCACGGCACGTGTGGGCCGCTGGGGCCCACCAGCCTGGCCCCCACTTGCATCAGGTACATCATAGAGTGGGTCCTGGGGTGGCCTGGGGCGGGTGCCCAGAACTGAGCAGGAGCCAGGGCCGGGGCCCCCATGCCCAACCCCTTCCCAGCTTCTGGGTCCCCTCCTCCCTTGCCCCCAGATGGACTCTTCCCGTGCAGTCCCTTTCCACCCCACCTGGCCACCCTTCCAACTTCACTAACTTTTCTCTCTCCAAGTGTCCGTGGGTGAGGCTTGGGCTGGGGGCTCTGGCATGGTGTGCCTCTGGCTCTCCAGGGTCTCCCATGGTTAGGAGCTCCTTCTTTCCTTCTGTTAGGCTGCTCCTTCGGTTAGGACTCAGGAAGAGAATTCAGCCCCCAGGCACAGGCGCACACATTCCCAGCGGTGAGTAACACTTCCTGAGGGCGGTTCGCCCTGTCACACCCCATCAGTTAACTCTTCTGTGTCCACTCTGCCTGGCCAGGGCCCCAATTCCTCTGTTCTGCCCAGCCTGAAAGGTCCAGGATCACCTCCATGCTAGCGCCACGCTGGGAACCCCAGCTGCAGGGTGCCTCCTCCACACAGTTCTTCCCGCAGCCTAGGCAGCCTCCTCTCACCATGCAGCAGGAGCAGGGAGGGGTTAAGCAGGGCCCACTCCATCCCTGAAGGCCAGGCTACACCCTTGGGTCACCTTAAGACTGTGGTCAGTTGCTCATCTCTCCCTGTCTTGGGTGGTGGTGGTGGGGTCAGCCTTGTAGGAGAGCACCCCCTACTGGTCACCAATGACTCATTCCCAAACCTAACTTGGGTTTTGGGATTTCAGGTTGCCAAGGAAAAAGGATGCTGTGTCTCCATGGAAACCAACCCCTTTGCTTAACTGAGGTTCTGGGGGTGGTTCTGACACAGAGCTAACCAGGGGGAGTGTGGTGGTGAGGCTGTGAGCACATGGTGCTGCCGCTGGCTGCCACCCACACACAGGCCCTGCCAGCCTGCTTGCCGATCTGCCAAGCAACTGGGGCAGGTACAGACTTGACCCGGCCTCCAAGCGCATGCACCAGGCCCTTCCCCACCAGAGACCACGTGCTTCACGTGTGTGCTCTGCCTGTGCCACATGTGGCTTCCAAGTCTAGGCCCAATCTGTTTCCCCAGCCTGTTCCCCAAGTCAGAGTACCCCAAACTGCAGGGACTCCGGAAGAGTCTGCCTGTCTTGGGTACTCCCCACGGAGGACTCGATTCCGTTTCTGGGTAAATCAGACACTTTGGTCATGCCGGAGTTCCAGAAAAGGTTTTAATTCCAGTTCTTGTGATCTGGGAGGCAGATACCAGGAATGGCCCTGAGAAAAGCTGGGGAGCCTGGCTACCACCTCCAGCGGCAGACAGGCCCTCTACATAGCATTTCTGGCTTAGAGTTCCTGTGCTGTAGGGCCCAGCTCCCGGGTTAGTGGCTGGGGTCCCCATATCTGAGGTCACCAGGAGGAATGTTGCTTTGGCTTAGGACAAGGCCCGTCTCCTTTGTCACTGACACTGAGGGGTGGGCTGGTTAAGGGATACAGACAGCAGTCTTGCTGGGGCCAGGTCAGCTCTAGAGCTACAGCTCTGCAGGCTGAGGAGGGATCCAGACGAGTGATGGCTGGAGGGGGCACCTGCAGCAGCAACGGAGAGCTAGCCGGGCTGCCCCCGGGCTGTGCCAATCGCCTTCTGCAGGAAAATTCGCATCCTAGGTGTGGGGCCAGCTGTTCCAAGGGACGCCCTGGCTGTGAACAGCAGGGTCATGGTCCTGGGGGTATGCAGGAAGAGAAGTCATCGAAAGTTAAACCAAGAAAGAGCCAGCCACTTCCTGACAGGGACCTAGGAAGTGCCTCACTGTGGGAGCCCTGATCCCTGGGGCTCAGCATTCCAGGCGGCTCTGACCCATCCTGGCTGGGGCTCCGTTTTCCCTCTACATCATCTAGCTCCATCAACCCAGAGCTTCCCCTTCCCAGCTGCTGCTCCCCAAACCTCTCCCTAAGTCGGGCCACTGATTGTTATGGTCCGTCTCTCTCTGGGCTCCTTCCCTGGAGGCCAGACGGGGGCGGGGATGGTAATGGCAAGGAGAGGGCAAAGCAGGAGGCCTCTGTGATTCTTACCATCTGCTTTTCTCTTCTGAGGGGACACTGCTGCCCTGGCCTGCGTAGTAAAAAAAAAAGCCCCCCGTGAGAGCCCAGCTTGGCAATCCCCCTCCCTGCTGCCGCTGATGGGTGGGGGATGCAGGAATTGGAGCTGCACTGAGCCGCAGGAGCATAGAGGCCCCTTCTAGGCAAAGCTCTGGGGTGCTTCTTGTCAGTCCCAGCCAGCCCCGTTATCCTCCCCACTTCTTCCATCAAACCTGCCCTGGAAAAAGGCCTCTGAGAAGTGGGCGTCCCAGGGTAGGGCACAGGGTACAGAGAAGCCACAGGCACTGGGGGAAGACAGAAAAGGCAGCCAATGCGACACACACTCCTTGCTCCAGCAGGAGGACCACACGCTGCTGCAATGCCAGGGCACCTGGGCTGAGGCAGGGGTGCTGAGGAGTGGGCAGGGAACGCCCCAGGCCTTCAGACACCAGGCTTGAAGTCCAGGAGGTGACGGGAGCAAGAGGACCCACCTTTTTGATAGCTGTCCAGTCCTCCAGGATGTCGATCTCCTGCAGCATGTACACAATATAAGGGCCTGTGACAGGGGTCAAGGAAGCAGAACAGCCACTGGAGGGGGCAGGTACTGGGCGCTCAGCCTGGCAAGCCAAGGTGGCACTTAGGAGAAGTGGCACAGAGACAGTGCTGAAAGCCCTAGTCCAACCGGGGGTCCACCTTCTACCTCTGGGCCTCTTGGCTCTCGGGAGGGCTCTCAGCCTATTTCAAGGAGCCCACAGAGGGCACCAATTCCCTTCCTGCGTTCTCCAGGACCTGCAGGGTCCTGCTGTCTGGCCTTCTGTCACTAACTGGTCCCTCATTGAGCCACATCCTCCCTCCACCTGAAGGCGGACTTTAGCCTCTTCCACCCTGAAAACCATCCTCCCCCACCCGAGGTCTCCACACCTTCACCCTATTGCTCCTTCAGTCACTGCCGCCCAGGTCCCCCCTCCTGGTCTCCATCAGCTCACCTCTGTGCTATGCTCTCGGAAGGGCTCAAGAGACAGGAAGCCATAGACTGAGGGGCTCCTCCTGAGGTGGGGCAGAAGCAGCAAGGGCCTCTGGGATGTGGGCACCTCAGGATAGGGCACAGGGAATAGAGAAGCCACAGACATTGGGGGAGACAGAAAAGGCAGCCTTTGGGATGACACTGAGCAGGCAGAGACAGCAGGAGCACTGAGAGGACAGGGAGTGGTAAAGCCCAGGGTAGGGAAGTCTGGGCCTTCCTGGAGCTGAGACTGGGGATGTGGAAGAAAAGCTAGGGGGTCCTCAAAGAGTGATCCCCACTTAGGAAGTTATGGGGAGTCATTACACTGAATTTTCTATTTTCCTAGGATCCACAAGTGTTCCTGACAGCTGGACTGGCTTGGATATAGTCATGTGACACCAAATGGCCATCAATGTGTGTTGTCCCACTCTGTCCTTCATGTTCCCTCCAAACCCCTCCTGAGGCTGCAGCCTGCCTTGACATCCTGGCCAGGGCCGTGCCACCTTGGGTGGAAGGATACCAGAAACGAGAGGCGCCTTCTTCCTCTTGCTTGGTGGCAGTGAGTCCCAGGTCCTGGAGCTGCCTCTGGCATGCAGTTTGTCATCCCACCACTCTGTGGCCCCAGACTCACAGTCAAGATCAGGGCACCAGCACACAGGCTGTTCCCGCCCGCGTGCCCTCTGCTCACCATGTGGGCCCCCTCCCCCTCCCCCAACCCCCTCACCACCACTCAGGCCAGTGGACTGACTCAATCCTGGGCTTGGGGCTGGACACCCCTTAGGACCGCCCAGGTCCCGGCTGAACAGCAGTCCCAGCACAGGGAAGAGGCTGCCACCCTCCTGTGAGCCTTGGTTTCTCCATTTGTTGAGCAGACAGTGAGACAGAATCAATTCCTGCCTCCCCAAGACCCCATATGAACACATATGCTCTGGGCATGGAGGGGACCATGGATATTGAATATGTGGGGGTGTCAGACGGAGATCCCCCCTTCTAGAAAGTGGTGGGCAGGTGACCATATGTGCTAGATCCTGGACTAGGCCCTTTCCAGGCCTCACTCAGTCCTCACAGGGACCCCAGGAAGCAGAGGCCCAGAGAAGGGTGGGTGCTGGCAGAGCTGGGCCCCTGCCCTCACCTGAACTGATGTCCAGGCTCTGGCGATCCTCCTCCAACCTCTGGATCCGCTCCTGCAGCTCACCCTGGAGCGTGTCATACAGCAGCAGCTTCTCACTCTGGAAGAGGCAAAGCTGCTTAGCCAGGAGCCGCCTGGGCCCTCAGCCTCGCCCGCCCCGCACAGGTTCCCGGGCGCTCAGCTCACCTCCAGGTGCTGCTTGGCTCCTTGCAGCTCACACTCGTACTTATTCCTAATCACGTCCAGACAGAAGCCCTTGTAGATTCCTGCAGAGAGAGACAGAGAGACGTGCCCTGCTTGGCTGGGGAGGGAGGGGGAGATATCCAGAGGACAGGGTGAGGCTGGCAGGGACAAAAGTGGAAGGGACTGGAGCTGTGGGTTCTGGGAGGGTAAGAGGGCACAGGACAGCCACAGACCTGCCACCTGGATGCGAATCTTGAGACTCCGCTGCAGTCCCCCAAGAGGCTCTGTATACTCAGGGGCTCTCTCAGCCCCCACTTCCTCCAGCCGCAAGCGCAGCTGACTCAGTCGCTCCCTGAACAACCTGGGAGGTGTGAGGTAGTCAGGCAACCCTGGGACCCCCATGGCTCTTGGGCAAACATTACCACGAGAGCCCCGAGTTTAGTACTCGTCACCCTGGGCATCAGTACCAGGCCTGCTGCCCCCTCACCCCAGCTGCCCGAAGACCCAGCCTGAGGTGTCCCCGTGCTCACTTCTCCTTAAGCTCTGAGAACTGCTTCTCCAGGTCTAGCATCTCACTGACACACTCACTGCGGCGCCGCTCGTAGTCCTCGTCATCCATCTCTGGGGAGAGAGACTGGTCAGGGCTGGCTCTGGAGCTGCGGGAGGCTTTGGGTGCGGGGGGGCTCACCTGAGCTCTCCTCTTCTGACTCAGTCTGGCTGCCGCTCCGTTCCTCCTCACTCTCTTCCTCTTCCCCATTCATCTCAGCAGCTGAGTCGCCCTCTGCTTCCATCTCTTCTGTGTCTGGTTTGCTTGGAGGTTGGATGGGCGGTTGGACGGGCATGTGGGCTCTGGGGAAGTGGGTGCAGCTGCTACTCACCTCCGCCCAGGCTCAGAGCAGGACCGCAGCCAGTCAGGAGTCAAAGGAAGCCTGACCCTCAGCGGGGTGTGTGGGGAGGGAGTCTGTGCGGAAGGTAACTGGCCTCACGTCAGTAGCATTTGCACCTCTCAAGGAAACCCCAGTACTGTGGAAATGCTCATCCCCTTGGATGTTGCTACTGATCCCAATTCTGGGAATACTGGCTGAAGGTACGATCCACTGATGGGGAGCGCCAAGGGCGGGTTTCCCAGTGGCAATGGAACTGGGCCTAAACTTCTGACTGGGGCTTTAAGGCCCTACACAGACCGGACTCTTTCACTCCATCTAACAGCCAGCTCTCCCACTCCCACCACCCTTCCTATGCCCAAGTGGCTTTTTTGAACCACAATGTCTCCTGTGCCTCTTCTCAGCACTCTGCGATCCTCTTGCCTTTTGCTGGGTGCTGGGGTCCCAGGGCCTCAGTCTCCCCTCACTCTGTCTTCTTTTGACAGGCACTGTCGTGTGAATATGTCTGATCTCCAGTACGAGTGTTCAGAGATGCGGCCTTTGAAAGCTGACTAGGTCTGCTCTCATGAATGGACTCAAACCACTATTATAAGACTGGGTTAGTATGGCAGTGGGTTCCTGATAAAAGATGAGTCTGGCCTTGTCCCTTTTCTCTCTTACCCTGTCACCTGCTGCCCTGGGGTAAGCAGCAAGAAGGCCTTTGAAGACATTTGGGCCTGAAGTTTTGGACTCCCTAGCCTCCAGAACTCTTTTAAGAAAGAAATCTCTATTCTTTATATACAGTATTACCTAGTCTGTTTTTTTTTTTTTTTGGTAAGTATGTGTGCGTGTGTGTGTGTATGTATGGTGTGGAAAGTTGAACCAAGGACCCCACACATGCTAAGCAAAGTTCTACCACTGAGCTACTCTCCCAGCTCTCAGGTATTGTTTTTGGTTTTGGTTTTTCAAGACAAGGTCTTGCTATGTATTTAGTTCAGTCTGGCCTTAAACTCACTATGTAGCCCAGGCTGGGTTTGAACATATAGTGATCCTCCTGATTCAGCCTCCTGAATGCTGGAATTACAGGCATGCAACTCCATATGCAGTTATTATAGCAATATGAAATAGACTAAAAAAGCAGGCTCCTGCCTAGAAGACTTTAGGTGTACTCAGGTATCCTCTATCATTAAGAAAAACACTTGGGTTCAATCCATCCCTAGCAGTACAAAAAAAAAGAAAGGAAGAAAGAAAAAAGGCAGAAATACTGAACTTCACCCATTCCACTTGATTGTTCTGTTGTCTACTTCACAGCTACACTTTTCCGGGTCTTTTGTACACTTGTTCCTTCTTTTACCTCCTACTCTTTGGATCTGTTTCTGTACCCCTTGGTCTTACTGAAACTGATCCTGTAATCAAAGACTTCCTTGTGGCTAATGTCACACTACCTTGGGGCTTCACACTGAGCTACACTTCCAGGCCTTATAAAAACTTTTTTATTTGGAGACTGGATCTTGCTAAGTTGCTAAATTGCCCAGGCTGGACTTGAACTTGCAGTCCTCCTGTGTCAGTGTCCCAGAGTGCTAGGATTACAAGTGTGTGCCGTTAAGCTTGGCTTCAGTGCTTATCTTAGTTGGCTTTTCAGCAACACTGAACACTCCTAAACATTCCTTCTTTCATTCATTCATCTGAGTACCTAATATACAGTAGGTACCATCAACTACCATGGTACAACTCTGACAGACTTTGAGGGGCTTACAAAGGGCTTACAAATTCTCAGAGGGCTTACAAATTCTGGCTGGGGAGGCAAAGAGACACTTACTATGCTATGAGGAGAATTTAGAAGTATATGGGAGGGGTTCCAACCAGGACCTGGCTGCAGCAGCCAGGGCTTCCAGAGGAAGATGAACCTGATGGAGGCCCTCAGTGAACTGAGGGTGGGAACATTCCTGGCAGAGTGAGCAGCAAACGCAAGGGCCCAGAAATGAGAGAAGAGAGGTTGGGGGCACAAGGGTCTGACCTTCAACAAGACCTGGGTGGCAGATTAGTCATCAGCATACAGCAAATGCTCTAAGCCGTCGGCTGGCATGGCCAGCAAGGCAGAATGTGGAGAGTGAGAAGGGATCCATGATGGAACTCCCAGAGTCAGCAAAAGGGCAGATTAGGAAACAAGGAAGGAAAAACCCAGTCACAGAGAAAGAGGATTTCAGAAGGAAGGAGTAGTGATAGCACCAAATGCTACCAAGGGACCACTATAAAGGAAGACTAAATAGTTCTCTTTGCAGATAATTTCTCTGCCATCTGGGGGCTATTTCACCGTTTGTCTGTCTCTCTCTTGTTGAGACAGGATCTCACTATAGTTTAGGCTGACCTTGAATTCCCAGTGATGCTCCTGCCTCAGCCTCCTGAGTGCCAACATCACTGCTGTTCTTCCAACTTCTCTGGCTACTGCTTTGCAGGCCTTCAGGATGGTGTGGACACCACTACCTCCAGGAAGCATTCTGTTTACATCTCCTACTGTCCATTCTCATGTGTATTCTACCAATGTGTGTGGCAGCCTTACTAGGGCAGGGGTTGCACAATGCTTCTTGTTCACCTAATGCACTACTGGCTCACTTGATGACTGAAAGGTCTGCAGATACAAATTACACAAAACAAACTTCCAGCGCAGGGACTGGCTTTTACTTCTTGACAGACCCAGGCGCCTGTAGTGGTGACCAACATTCTTCGACACCCATTCAAGTAGTGTGCTGCCCCTGGCCTATGGAGTTTAGCCACATCCTTGAATGATCTCACTAATGATCTGCGCCTCACCTGAAACCCACCCTCATTTTTTACTCTCAAATCTCAGTTCCCACCACTGGCAATACCTCCTCACTGTTAAGTGTATGCACCTTGTAAGACGCAGTGTTAAGGCCTGTCTCTTCCAGAAAGCATGCCTCTCTTGCAGGTGATTCTGATTCTGACTCTTACTTAGTCATAAACTTCATTAGTCACAACCTCTCTTTAACTCGGGTGCAAAAACAGGATAACGATTCCCGATCGAAGGTGGGAAAGACTGCATGATTTAAAGATGAAAAATCACACTGTAAGCGCTACGCACAGGCAATTTATCTCTCTAGACGGTAAGCTCCTCGAGGGCAGGCTTCCACGGAAGGCAGACCCCCTCCCCACAATTACAGAGGCCAACTTAGAGTTTCTGAGGCTCTCCGGGAGCCTCCCACCTCGCTCTACCCTCAGATACGCCGACGCGGGCTACAGAACACAGAACTGTTCCGCGGTCTGCTACGGCCCTGCAGCCCCGCGGCCCCGCGCGCATCACGCCGGTTAAGTCTCCGCTCCGGCTCGGTAGGAGATTGTGTTGGCTCCGACCGGTTGACCACAGAGTTCAACCCAGGCGGCAGGCGTGGCGATACGCACCGCGGGATCGGTGGCCTCGGGCCTCACGTCCAACTCCCTGAGAGGTGACTGAGTCCGCCAGTACTGGCCACCGCTACTGGGCTCCCGGAAGCTCTGTGCAGGTCCCTCTCCTCCGGGAGGCGGGGTCTATTGGCGGTTCCGGGTGCATCATCAAGGGGCGCCGACCGGGGAAGCTCACGATTGGCCAACCGAGGTAGAGGCATGCTGGGATACCGCGGGTCGGTCTCCATAGCAACCGGCCGACATTCATACGGGCCTTCAGTCGGCGGGGAAGACCCTGGTGATTTTTCGAGTTTACCGCGAGCGGCCCTTGGTCCTTGGCCACCTCCCCACAGCGCGGAAGGGGAAAACCCGGGGCCCCAGCTCAGGAGAGTACCAGAACCAGCTGTGGATGTGAACACTCGTTTATTTACACATTGTCATTCGAAGGCAAATAACCAACCCAGGCGATCGGAGGGTACAGATCTCAGATTGTCCCTCATAGAGCCTGCAGACCCTTCCCTCCTTCAGAGCGCCCGAGGATGGAGGCGTGGGAGAACCACGAAGTTCAGGTTTCAGTTCAAGAGTTAATAATTAAATTCTATGCTTTCATCTCGATTTCCTTCCAAAAGGTCCATTTCATTAAGTACTCAGACTTCTCAGCTCTGTCCCAGTCATACGTTTTGCTCTTACTACCCATTCACCCAGTATTGTTAATAACGATAATAATAACAATAATAATACTGTAATAATATTAATACTTCACATTTGTACGAAGCTTACAGAATGTTTTCACATACAGCATCTCATCTGAGCCTCCCAAAAGTTCTGTGAGGTAGGCATTCTCACCTCCCTTTTTACAGACAGGGTAACTGAGGCTCAGAGAGGTAATGGGATTTGCTCAAGGCCACACAGCTAGTTAGTGGTAAAGCCAGGACTTACTCCCAGCACCCCATATTTAAGTCCAGTGTTTCAACTCCACAGCTACCTCTGTAAAGTGGAGCGACATTTCTTACCCCAGTCAGGCCTGAGGTGTGGCCTGAGAAGCCAGAGGTTGAGACTTCTCAGACTAGGGAAGGGAAGGACTCAGCAGCGTCGGGGAGAGTTGGGGTACTTGGTCTTCAACTCCTGTTTGAACTGGCGGTAAAGGATCTTATTGTGTTGATTTTCAGCTTCCTTTTGGGGATGGAACTTCAAGGCTTCTTTGAAGCCCTTATGAACCAGGAAACCTTCATTCAGCACCTCAAAATCAAACCCTGCCACGTGCAGTTCACAGGCCTGTAGAGGGAGAGACAGGTCAGCAAAGTTTGATGACATTTCCAGGACCCAAACAACCATCTCTAAAGCCACACTCCAGCTTTCACATCTCTCTGAAGGCATCTTTGAACTTCCACCCAACCACTTCCCGAACTATGATCCCTCCTGCATCACTGCCTCTTTTCCATAGTCCCATCCCTGGTCCCATCCCTTCTTGCCCATTTCCCCTTTCCCTTTCCCTTTTAGGCACCTGGCTGATGCGATTGAAGCCGTACTGCCGAAAGCGCTCGTCAAAGCTAGGCACCTTGCCTCCAGCCACATAGAAAGGCTCCCAGGGGTCCTGCCAAGGAACCACGTAGGCAGGCCTCAGTAAGCTTTCTTCTGGCAGGTTGACCCAGCGGGAGTAGTTGGTGGGTGCCTGGCAGGGTGTGCAGAGCCCATAATAGAAGGGCCGCACCTCCCCCACCTGGTAGAGCTGCAGCAGCTCTGCCTTATTCATGGGCATGCGACGGGCTCGGCGGATCTCGAAAGCTGGCACCACTAGGGCTGTTCCCCCCCACTGGTTGCTCTGATCCAACATTTCCCGCAGTCCTCTCCATAGCCCCTCGCTGGGCACCATGTCCATATCGATCACCAGGGCATAGTTGGCCCCCTCTCGAGCCAGATTCCTCAACAGGTTGTTGGGGTAGGAGACGTTGGTGCCCAGTGCATAATTGATCCCGGGTTGGGCCACCTTGGCTAGCTTGTCAAAGACCTCTTGGCAGGAACGAAGCAGAGCAAACTCTCCCGGCTCCCGGGGGTCGGGCACTGCGGCCTCATAACGTGAGGGGCACACAAGGTGCATGGCAACCCTGGCGCGCATGTCGGGGCAGTGGCTGCTCAGCGCGTAGGCCAGCACTGTGGCCAGCTGCGCCTCCTCCTTGGTGGCTGCAAACACTGAGACGGACAGTGGGCCCTCCCAGCGCTCCAGCAGGCCCGATAGGTGCAGCAGGTTGTCCACGCTGGCGTGCGTGGCCAGGATCACATCACTGGGGTCCATGGTGGTCTTCAGGAGGCCTCGATAGACGCGGTAGTCGCCGCTAGAGTCTAGGACGCCTCCAGAGGCCAGCGCGGTGCGGAGCTGCGCCTTGACTTGGTCCACAGATCGCGGGGACGGCGGGAAGAACTCGAAATATTGGTCCTGCTCCTCCTGCCCGTGCAGTCCAGACAGCAGCGACAGGTAGAGCAGCTGGAGCATCGCCACCAGCATAAGTGCGGCCAGCAGCAGCTGGTAGAAGGCGCATCGGATGGCGTAGGACATCTGCATGGTTCCTGGGGCTCGGAGAGCACAGCAGGGACCACCAGGCTGCGCAGTAGGGACCACGGGGCCTTGGTGCCTACCCGCGTCTACCAGCGGCCGCAAGCCCGGATTTACCGCAGCCTGCCGAGCGCACCCGAGGCGCCCCGAAGCGAACCGAGCCCCGCGTACAGCCCCGCCCGCCGTCCTCCTGCGCCGTTCTCTGCGCGCTCGAGCTCGCCCTCTGCGAGAGAGGAGGAGCTACTGCACCCGCCGCGCGCTTTGCGAATGCGGATCCTGCCGTGGTCCTGCGGCTCCGTTGCCGCCGCCACTGCCACTGTGTCCGCGTGCTCTGGGACACGCACCTCTTCCTCACGGTTAGTGTGCAATTCCCTGTACCAAGCGCGTCCTGCAACCCCGGCGCTCACGCCAGGACTCAGAGGGGAAATTGTGTCCAGAAGCTCTGCTTCAGCTTAGTGAAGGATGGCTCGGCTCCCAGCAGAAGCGCGAAAGAAAACAAAACAGCTCCTTTCTTTTCATTGTTTTTTCCCCTCTCCTGAGTCCTACCAGGCCGGCGGAAAGGGGTGAGTGGTGGGAACCTGAAGGTTCGGAGACGATGAAAGATAAAGAAATGTGGAAAGCAAGAGTAGGCGTAGGACGAGGTGGCCGAGTGGTTAAGGCGATGGACTGCTAATCCATTGTGCTTTGCACGCGTGGGTTCGAATCCCATCCTCGTCGGTCCTGTTTTACAGGGGGGAGAGTTTCTTAATTTTCCACATCTGGACCATCCCGATGCAGCAAGCAAAAGAAAACTGAATTGGGCGTAAGAGTGGAATTCTGTCCAGATCGTTGCCCTCTTCCCTATTTGTGCACCACGCATCTCCCTCGTGTTCACTCTCCAGGTATGGGAACCTTCGCGGCAGAAACCAGATGGGTGTGGTTTTCTTTCTCCTTACAAAGAGGACCCAGGAGTCTGCCACTTATGACTGCCACTGGGATTTTGGCTAGTGGCAAGTTGGGGGGTTAGTATTATCATCCGCAAGAAATAGAGAAACCCCCTCTGGAGGCTTCCACCTGAGGTAGCAGTCTTTGAATTTGGCCTGCTGATTCCTCCTTCTCCCCAGCACCTTTCACAGGATGGAGAACTCCTAACCTTTCTCTCTCTCTGTCTCCGTCTCTTTGTCTTTCTGTCTCTCTGTCTGTCTCTGTCTCTGTCTCTGTCTCTCACTCTCTCTTTCTCTCTCTCTCTCTCTCTCTCTCTCTCTCTCTCTCTCTCTCTCACACACACACACACACACACACACACAAGCAGAACATTCCAACCCCAGCTATTATACACTGCAGGCACTTATGTGGTTGTGGATTAACTGATCTGGGTACTCTAGAAGTGAGAACTTGCACCCACGCTATGTTCTTGGCCACATCAGGGTGCCCCAGAGGGCTCAGCACTATGTGTGTGTATCTTGCTTGAAAAGGGGCATTGGGACTACTGAGAAGGGCCTCCAAGGCCAGGATAAGATGTCCACTACCCTGTTCTACAGGAAGCAGGTGGCAAGGTGGTTGAGTGGAAGATTAATCAGAAGATTTATATTTTACAGCTCAATACACTAACACCTACCTGCTCCCTGCCAGAGGCTGTATTAAGCACAGGAGCCCTATACATGCAGGTACTGTCCTTGAAGGTTTTCATTGGGGACAGGTGCTGGGTGAGAGAAGGAAGGCAAGTACAGGTCCCTTCAGCACAGGCCTTATAACCAAGCGGCCCAGAAGCCAGGTTTGGTGCCATGTAGGGTTGTTTATTTTTTTGCCTTGGTCATTGCATAAAAACAGTAAGTTGAAGCTGGGCCTATAAGCTCTGCACTCTGGGAGGCTGAGGCAGGAGGATTGCAAGTTCAAGCCCAGCCTGCAAAATTTAGCAGCTTACCTAGACCCTGCCTAACAAAGGGAGTGGGGATGTAGCTCAGTGCAAAAGCCCTGGCTTCAGTCCCCAAGGGAGCAACAACAAAACATTGAATCACATTAGTAATTTGGGTGAACCAGGACAGTTTATGTAAAATCCACATGTCCAATTCCCACTTGTGGTTCTGAGATCTGGCAGTGGCAGGCCTCCATTCTCACAGGATGAAGACTGGTCAGAGCACCAGAATGTCTTCTCTCTGCCAAAGGAAGTCTTATCTTATCATGCCCCTTCCCTTCTCTGGGTTCTCCAACTCTTTGAGCATTTCAGTTTGTCACAATACCCAATTACTACTTTAATTGCTAAGATTTACCTGGTCATCTGTCCCCACACCCCCTGTTAGGCACACAGCAGACATTAGTACACGTTTGTTGAATGAATATGTAAGATTCTTGTAAAGTAACCCCAAGGTGCCTAGTGTAAGGGGAGACTGTAAAGTGGTGACTAGGTCTCAGTGAGGTGACTCCATTAAGGGTAGCCATGTGGAAGGTCCAGACAGCAGCCAGAAGTTTGCTGCTGTGGCCAGACACCTGGCTGGGAGAGAGTACGGCTGTGGCAGAAGGGAATGTAGGTGATAGAAAGGGTCTGCTGGTGGCTTCACTGTTCATCACCCTCTGGCTCTCCCCAGGGATTACAGTTCAGGTTCTGGTTCTCCAGAGAACTAGAACCATGGGCGTGCGTGTGACACCCCGTGAGCGAATGAATTGGCTCATGTGATTGTTGGTGCTGCAAGTCGGAACTGTACAGAGCAGGCTAGCAGGCTGGAGACCAGGGGATAAGCTCAGGTCTGAGGGCTAAGTTTGAGGAACATCTAGAAGCAGAATT